TCATTCCGGTTCCAAAATCAGGCGACCTCTCAAATACTGATAACTATCGAGGAATCAGCCGCACTTGTGTCATTGCTAAACTCTACAATCGCATGATTCTGAACAGGTTAAGAAGTGCCATAGACCCAAAACTCCGTATGGATCAAAATGGCTTCAGGGAAAGGAGGTCCACAGTTCAGCATATACTAGCTTTAGGATCGATCATTGAAGAGGCGAAGAAGAACCGTCTCCCTGCCATCGAGGCAAAATGATGGGAATCCTTAAGGCCTATGATGTTCCTCCCAGACTTCTAAGGGCCATAGACTCCATGTATACCAACACCAGAGCTAAAGTGATTACTCCTGATTTTGTAATTGTGCTGGACTATGCTCTTCGGAAAGCAACAAGCGATAGAGAGGCAGAGCTTGGGTTTACCATCACACCAGATGCTCTAGAAGACGGTTCCAGCAGTCACCCTCACCGACCTAGATTTTGCTGACGACATCTGCCTGCTTTCCGACAAGATAGATAAGAGCAGGCGCAAGATCTTCTTTCAAGAGTTGAGCTTGAATGTAGCAAGTCTGGCCTAATCACGTCTCAATTCCAAGAAGACTAAGATAATTACCCTGAAAACTGACCATCCAAGTCTCAAGTCCTGCAATGGGGAACTCCTCGAAGAAGTCATCGACTTCCGCTACGTACCTTGGGGCATAGGTGAACAACACAGAACAGGATATCAAAATAAGGAAAGCTCAAGCATGGAAGGCATTGAATAACATAAGTCACCTCCAATCTCTCCCCAAGCATCAAAATTAGCCTCTTTGTAGCTACAGTTGAGACAGTACTCCTGTATGGTTGTGAGAGCTGGAGTCTTTCATCAACCCTAGAAAAGGATCTCGATGGATGCTACACGAGAATGCTGAGGGCGGCACTGAACGTGAGCTGGAAAGAGCACATGACCAATGCTGTGCTCTACAGCGGGCTCCCAAAAGTGACAGACAAGATTGCAAACAGACGAATGAGGCTTGCTGGCCACTGCGTGAGACACAAAGAGCTAGCAGTTAGGTCAGCTGGTGCTCTGGGAGCCAAGACACGGTCGCCGCAGGAGAGGACGTCGACCCGCAACGTTAATCAACACACTGTGTAGGGACATAGAGCTAGGACCTAGCTCTATGGTAGGGACACTGGAGCACAACGGACCGCTGAGATAAGATCACTTATGGAGGACCGCAATCTGGGCATCCATTGCAAATGCTCGGTTGAGGCCGCCATAAGTAAGAAAGTATTAGTGGAATAACTTTTCAAGTCACCATAATTTTTGTTCTTCAGGATGGCCAGGCTCTCTTGCATGGAGTCTTGCCAACTTGATGAGCCCCCTGACCGCCCTTCTGATGATGAGGATGAAAGCTGTCAAATTGGTCATCCTCGGACACGTCATCATATGCGTTGGATATCTTCTAACCTCCATCGTTCCTGCGCTAGGCTACGCCGTGTTTACTTTCGGTGTCATGGGTGGAGTTGGCGTTAACTTCGTGACCCACGCGGTCACGGGGTTGGTTTTGGAGTGGTTCCCCAAGGACAATTTCAGTCGAGCAAATGGCATTGCTGAAACGGGATCATCAACAGGTAAGTCAAAGTCTTACTCAAGGCCGGATCCGGCCCGTTTTTTTAGGGCCTCTTAGAAACTAGTATCTACAACATAGTTTTAGTCCTAGCTCTATAATTATGTCGAATTCCTGATGAGCATTGGAGCTGGATTTTTACTTAGATTTTGTTCCCTATAATGAAGCCGGTGTAAATGGTAATTCTGTCCCCCTGGGTAAATGTATATATTTACCGGGTCGTAATCTGTCCGGGGACAGATTTACCGAGGTAAATCTGTCCCATTTCAGGTAAATATGCCACCCTCCACCGCCCAACGTTGTGTCCCCCTGGTATTTGTTCCCGGGCAGCGATATTTTTTCCGTACACAAACATTCGTTATGGGCGTATTTCGAAGTACGTTGAGTTGCAAGTCAGGTTCTCGGACTTTATTTTCTCTTGAAAAAAAAAATCCTCCAAACCACATATTGGTAAAAGAAAAAAGAAGTACAGAAGAAGAAATAAAAAAAAAACCATCCAATGGGAATCGAACTCACACCATCGGATTTGTAATCCGATGTAGTATCCATGACACTACAGCAGTGACTCGATCGATGTGGTAGTTTTAAACATTATGCTATTGCATAATATTTATGCCCATGTTCATCCAAGTAAATGGGCCAAAAATCCGTCCGCCGAGCTCATGAATAAAAAAAAAATATGAGAGCCATGGAATTGTGGGATTGAAGACATATACCACTGCACTGCATCCCTGGCCTGGCCATGTGACTTCCAATTCGGAGAATTTTTAAAAGAATTTTGAAGTACAATGTATGGACCACTGATCTCTATATAAGGGTGCAGACCAGTAAATCGGTCCGAAATTGCCTGCGCCGGCCAAATCACGATTTGCATGCCCTCAAAATCTTCGGTATTTGGGCATGCTTTGGGCCATGAACTTGAGGGTTTGTAAAAAATATGGGTGGAAGCCGTGCACAGGACTGGGAGCTTGCAGTTCTGTGTAATTTTGATGTAATTTGGACCCTAAAAGCGCTCTATTTTGCAATGGAGTGTAGGCATCGTTTTTCAAAATGGCGATGGGCTTCAGGACTATTTTCAGGGGTGATCATCTTCAGATGGAAATTTCCCCTAAAAGTCATCAGTTGACCCCCCGAAAATTGAAAAGAAAATGAAAGATGATGAAATAAGCTTTAATTTGATGTGCGTCTCGAACACCTTGGAGAGTTGTGAGTATTTTTCCCGAATTTTTGAAGTGGGAGCATTTACCATTGGGGTCTATGGAAGTTTATTTACTGGTCTGCTACCATAAAGACTGGATAGCGGATATGCATACAACATTCACACAGTAGACTTTGCATATTGACCAATTCGCCCCCGGTCTCACGAAGATGGCCGCGTATAATACGAACTAGCCCGACTGCGTCTGGCCGTACAGTACTATCGCAAGCTCTGTAGTACGGCCAGACGCTGAATGCTTCCAAAAAGACTGAATTTTTTGGCCGCTGATGTAGCGATTTTGCTACATCTTTTGATGGAGATTATCTTTTCATCCAGGGCAAAAATTTCCACAGTTAAGGTTCTTAGTCGTAGAGCAACTCATACCTTTTCGAAAAAACGTTCTTTGGTCTCAATATTTTCATCCATCTGGCCAAAAGACGACTTTCAGTCATCATCTTCCACGAATATCGTCCCGAAAATGCTCCCCCATGCGATTTCAAAATGGCGGCCGCGCTGTAACTCATGAATATGCATAATAGTCTGTGACGTATGACCTCGTGTTTTAGGACGTGCGTGCGGCGGCGCCGTACGTACATGTACGTACATGTACATTACTTGTAGACAAACAGCCCAGTACGTGCATGCACACGTACGTCCGCGCAGCGGTGTGCATGCACTTACATGTACGTACGGCCCCGCCGCACGCACGTCCTAAAACACGAGGTCATACGTCACAGACTCTTTATGCATATTCATGAGTTACAGCGCGGCCGCCATTTTGAAATCGCATGGGGAAGCATTTTCGGAACAATATTTGTGGAAGATGATGACTGAAAGTCGTCTTTTGGCCAGATGGATGAAAATATTGAGACCAAAGAACGTTTTTTCGAAAAGGTATGAGTTGCTCTACGACTAAGAACCTTAACTGTGGAAATTTTTGCCCTGGATGAAAAGATAATCTCCATCAAAAGATGTAGCAAAATCGCTACATCAGCGGCCAAAAAAATTCAGTCTTTTTGGAAGCATTCAGCGTCTGGCCGTACTACAGAGCTTGCGATAGTACTGTATGGCCAGACGCAGTCGGGCTAAATACGAACGTTCTACGCGTAAATACGCGCGAGTTGTATCAACAGTTGACGCGCATTTTGGTCACGTACACATATTGTGATGTTCTAAAAGGGACACATTTCCGTAGTGATTATTATTTCAAAAACGCCGAAAAGGTGATCTGCAGCATTATAAAAGTAACCACGACGTTAGAAAAACTGTAATTAACCTTGTTCAGTGGTAGCGGTCAAAATATAAGTCAAGTGAGCCGCGACGTTACAAAAGAAATCAAGCTGTCTATAAAGACGGCAACTTGTCCTTTGTAGATCACCAGCCGGTCTCACCAATATGGCGTCAAATTCGTACATTGTGCGGCTCTTTATTAGCTATCCAGTCTTTATAATAGAGATCAGTGGTATGGACCCGGAGATTGAGGCCGTGTCCGAAACGGGCTTCCAGAGCTACGGCTACGTCTATTGTCAGCGCGTCCCCGCGTATTTTCAATGGGCGCAGACCACTGATCTCTATATAAAGACTGGATAGCGGATATGCATACAACATTCACACAGTAGACTTTGCATATTGACCAATTCGCCCCCGGTCTCACGAAGATGGCCGCGTATAATACGAATGTTCTACGCGTAAATACGCGCGCGTTGTATCAACAGTTGACGCGCATTTCGGTCACGTACACATATTATGATGTTCTAAAAGGAACACATTTCCGTAGTGATTAAAAACGCCGAAAAAGTGATTTGCGGCATTATAAAAGTAACCACTACGTTAGAAAAATTGTAGTAAACCTTGGTCAGTTGGTCAGTGGTGGTGGCCAAAATATAAGTCAAGTGAGCCGCGACGTTACAAAAGAAATCAAGCTGTCTATAAAGACGGCAACTTGTCCTTTGTAGATCACCAGCCGGTCTCACCAATATGGCGTCAAATTCGTACATTGTGCGGCTCTTTATTAGCTATCCAGTCTTTATATAGAGATCAGTGGCGCAGACCTAGACCTAGCTCTAGACAGCTGATTCGGATGCAGCCTTACTTGGCCCCTTGTCTAGAAATTGTGTGTAGCGCCCTCAGTAGCCCGAGTCTTGAGTGGCTAGTCGGGTTCTGATGTAAGGTAAATATAATGTGTTAACTTAAGTGAGTAGAGTCTGGGGATCGATCTCGCCTATTCTTGGCGGGTTCGTCGAAAGGATTTCAGGATTTGACGAATCGTGTAATTCTACGTCTTGGAAAAATGTTCCGTTGAATTTGATTCATTTGAGAGGTAATGATTATAGAAAAATATGCTGTTGGACAAACGGAGACTTCTCTATAAAACACGGTAATCCTTACCTTTACTTAGGACCCCGTTCCTATTAAAGTACTATTATTGGTGGTGTTCCCTAACGTGGCGCACTTCGACGTTTAGCCCCATAAATGTGGCCTATTTACTGGACTGCCTCCGTAAACATAGGCCACACATCCACATGTACAAAAATCGTGTCGACGGAGCCAAATTTTGATTTTCACATTTAGGCTTAGTTTGTAGGGTTTTTTTGCTTTAGAAGCATACTCACCCTCTTTACAGGCTAATCAGAAAGTGCTGCCTTTTTCAGATGTCTAATTTTTGTGAAATTTCATGTTGAAATTTAATTTGATACGCAAACGTGTAAAAATTATACTCCTAGAACTATGAGGCTCCACGTAGTGGAGCCTCATAGGTTCAGAAGCCCGCAAAATTGTTGTCAGCACAAAACACTAATTAAGTACAAAAACGTCCATCCCAAGCAGGCCGTTTTTCACAGAACCGCTGCACAGTTTGCCCTAGCCCGACTGCGTCTGGCCGTACAGTACTATCGCAAGCTCTGTAGTACGGCCAGACGCCCGATGCTTCCACAGAGACTGAATTTTTTGGGCCGCCGATGTAGCGATTTTGCTACATCTTTCGATCGCGATTATCTTTTCATCCAGGACACAAATTTCCAAAGTTAAGGTTCGTAGTCGTAGAGCAACTCATACCTTTTTGAAAAAACGTTCTTTGGTCTCAAAATTTTCATCCATCTGGCCACAAGACGAATTTCAGTCATCAGATTCCACAAATATCGTCCCCCATGCGACACCCCATGCGATTTCAAAATGGCGGCCGCGCTGTAATGTATGCATTATGCGAGCGCGCTCGGGCAAGATAATGAATATGCATTATTTAGTTCATGACCTCGTGTTTGTATGGCCTGCCGCGCTGAGTGTCCGACAAACGTCATAAACTATGATGCATATTCATTATCTTGCCCAAGCGCGCTCGCATAATGCATACATTACAGCGCGGCCGCCATTTTGAAATCGCATGGGGGATCGCATGGGGGACGATATTTGTGGAATCTGATGACTGAAATTCGTCTTGTGGCCAGATGGATGAAAATATTGAGACCAAAGAACGTTTTTTCAAAAAGGTATGAGTTGCTCTACGACTACGAACCTTAACTTTGGAAATTTGTGTCCTGGATGAAAAGATAATCGCGATCGAAAGATGTAGCAAAATCGCTACATCGGCGGCCCAAAAATTCAGTCTCTGTGGAAGCATCGGGCGTCTGGCCGTACTACAGAGCTTGCGATAGTACTGTACGGCCAGACGCAGTCGGGCTAAGTTTGCCCCTAAACTCCATACAATACCTCATGACATACTCACGTTATGTGCACCCAACAAACATCGGTGGATTCTGTCTGTTTTTCGGCAAAAATGATGAAAAATATGCCCTTTCTGCACTGAGCCAACCTAACACTTGAAACGAGCACGCGTGCAGAATGATCGCAGTCATTTTCGGTTCGATCGCTCGGAGCGCGCCGCGGGGGGTATGGTGTAGGAGCGGAACGATAGTATGCACATGCGTACAAGTGCAAGTACGTACCCCCCGCGGCGCGCTCCGAGCGATCGAACCGAAAATAACTGCGATCATTCTGCACACGTGCTCGTTTCAAGTGTTAGGTTGGCTCAGTGCGGAAAGGGCATATTTTTCATCATTTTTGCCGAAAAACAGACAGAATCCACCGATGTTTGTTGGGTGCACATAACGTAAGTATGTCAGGTTGGCGTAGCGGTACTTTCGTCGCATTCCACCGCTGTGACCCGGGATCGAATCCCGCCTGGGCCAATATGTGGATTGGGTTTTCAGTCCCTGCCTGATTCCGTGGGTTTTCCCCAGAATATTCTTCTGGGCTTTTCCTCCCGCCTCTAAAACTGTAACTTCTTCTCATTGTCTTCTCTCCACAGGTTTCTTCAGGCTTGCGAGCTACAGTGCCTAGGGCGCTTTTGAGGAATCCTTGGTTTCATTACCAGAAATGATTAATAATAATAATAATAATAATGAGGTATTGTATGGAGTTTAGGGGCAAACTGTGTAGCGGTTCTGTGAAAAACGGCCTGCTTGGGATGGACGTTTTTGTACTTAATTAGTGTTTTGTGCTGACAACAATTTTGCGGGCTTCTGAACCTATGAGGCTCCACTACGTGGAGCCTCATAGTTCTAGGAGTATAAAAATTAATCTGGAAATTTCACGAAAAATATACATCTGAAAAAGGCAGCACTTTCTGATTAGCCTGTAAAGAGGGTGAGTATGCTTCTAAAGCAAAAAAAACCTACAAACTAAGCCTAAATGTGAAAATCAAAATTTGGCTCCGTCGACACGATTTTTGTACATGTGGATGTGTGGCCTATGTTTACGGAGGCAGTCCAGTAAATAGGCCACATTTATGGGGCTATTCGACGTTTACCCAACTTTCCTTGTGTAGTGTTTTCCAAACCTCTTTGTTGACAAACCTCAAATTCATGCAGTGAAATACTGGTACCTTTACCTTACTAATACTTGCTTTTCAATCTCTGTGAAAAATTTCGGTGTCATGAAATTTAATCGGAAATTCAAAAACGGTGGCGTCCGGAAATTGGGCACAAATTGGTGGAGTGTTCCCTAACGTGGCGCACTTGAATAAATCTCGGAAAATCACAAATTAACATTTAATAATTTCTGTAAAGTTGATAAATTCTGATAAATTATTATTATCTCTACTTACATACCCAGCCAGAAGTTTGTCAGAAATTTATTTTCTTATTTTTCGGGGCATTTTCAAAGGGTTCACGTTGCACTTCAAAATAAAATCGAAAAATCACGCCAAAATAACTTTTTCTTCTAACTTTGTAACGGGTAAATAAACTTGCGATTTATGAACGGGAGTGTTTAGAACTTGATGAAATTTCACTTTCTGTGAAATTTCAGTTAAAACTTTTGCTCTAGCTAGATGCTACAGGCGAAAAATCAAAGTGCGCCACGTTAGGGGCCGCGCCACGTTAGGGTACATCAACAATATTAGCTTGAGTAACTCCAGCTGACCATGGAGCTATTAATGCTCCATATTCATTTACATGTGAATGAATATGGAGCATGTCAGCTGGAGTTACTCAAGCTAGTTCCTATATAACTTAACATTTATAACTAGGTTCGCGTTTTTTCACACGCAGTGGCTATTTTTACGGCAGCCGTAACGCATTTCCCATTTTCTATCGTTACGGTAGACTGCAACTTTTATAAAAACATGAGAAGAAAATATAAAATTAGAGGGAAAAAAAGTGAATTTGAACGTTATGAAATTCGGACTTTATTTCCCTTTTAAAAAAAATCCTCCAAAGCCTCAGGTTAGAAAAGGAAAAAAAATTCGAGTGCAAAACTGAGATGCGAACCCGCAACCTCGCGGTGCAAAATCCTCATTCTATCGACTGAGCTGTCGCACTGCTCGCTAAAACGTGGGGAAACAAATAATTATATGATAGTGGATATTTTGCCGGAGGTAATGACGGCAAACTAACGTTTACTAAAGGTTTGCCGGCGGCAATCCATATCAACAGAGGGCGCTGTACTCTTTAAGATAGGGCTGAATTATAAGATGTATTAAATTCCCACCAAAAGTTGTGAAGCACGTTTGGTGTAGTGGTTAAGCAAAAGCTCTAGTGAGCTGGATGACTCGGGTTCGATCCCGACCCCCGCCACATTTTTACGTTTTTTTTTCCCATCCCCAAATAAATAAGAATATTCTTCTTTTATTATTTTAACATGTCTCAAACATTTTATTGCAGAGTAGGCCTATTACATTTTCTTTTTCAGATTTGTGGCTCTGGAGGATTTTTTTTAAAAGGGAAATAAAGTCCGAAATTATAAAATGGTCTGAATCCCATCTTGTGAATACGAGGTTACAACGATAATATTGGCATGGAGCCAGACTAAAAAAAACCAAAAAGTACAAAAAAACAGTAACTGCGCATGTTCAGTGCATATCCGGCAAACTAACGTTTACTAAAGGTTTGCCGTCTCCGGCAAAATATCCACTGCCTAATTATATACCTGCCATTGCCTGCGTGCGTATCAAAAAAATATCGTAGAGGGCGCTAAACAACGACTGCCGTAACGATAGCCACTTCGTTTTACAAACGCAGACGGCAGAGTGGTCGGGTAGACAACTAGGCCTAGACCTATTTCATTAGACATTGTCCAGTTAAGTTATGAATATGTTTATGTCAGAAAAAGGGCTATAACATTTTCAGTACCAATTATTTTGTACAAAAAGAATGCGTCTTTTAGGGTATGATAAATTTCAGTAAACATTTAGGTACACGTACCTAAATGTTTATTTCCGGTTTGATGACGTCATCAGTAAAAAAAAGGGAACTTGTTTAATAATATCATTAAGTAAAAATAACGCATGGAAATATGGAAATTATGTGTATGTAATAATAACACCCAACTTCCGGTTTGATGACGTCACAGTATTTGGAAGCAAAAGGCAATATTAAGTGTAATAGATGTAATTTTTTGGGCAAAAAACAAAGTCACGAGACAGGGATATTATGTTTATGATGGATTTAAATTAAAAATAAAATGATCATTGTTGAAATTTCCCTACAGAAGCTTTCGGTCGATGAAGTCATGATTATGAAACCTTGCAAATTCAGTTGTGGTAGCTCATGGGACATGTAGCCTTACCTATTGGGGCAATTTCATAAAAATTGGATTGAGGGTTTTGACATTTTGAGAGATTAAACTGTTGTGATGTGCCGCTAGAGGGCGCCCTTTCGTGGGATGACGTCAAAATTATGTTTTTGCGATTGGCATTCCTCACTCAACACTTCCATAATGTATTTGTCTGTAGTAAAATGCTTCCGTTTTAGAGTAAGATTCAATTTCTATTGCACTTCTGGTAATACCGGAAGTAAAGGTCAAGCAGTTTTGTGCCCGGGAATAAGAAATGTTGCTCAAGGCGCCGTCTAAAACCTCACGAAAAAAATGAACGCGATACTCTATTTAGTTCAAGAGATATAGGCCAAACTATTTTGTCAAATTGTGCCATCAAATCGCTTGTAATTTGATACCTGATGACGTCTGATGACGTAACAACATTTTTAGCATCTTCGTCATATGGTTCAAGTTCACACTAGGTTTTATGATCACACCGTAAACCGTTCTGAAGAAATTGTGCTTTGTTTTGATTTCAGGCTAATGTCTTCATTTTGAATTCACCTAACTTTAACCTTCCAGTAGAACCGGAAGTAAAGGTCAAGCGAGTTCACGTACACGACAAAAAATGTTTAATGGTCTATCTGATTACAAGGTTGGAACATAATTGATCATTTTCTTCAAGAGTTATAGGTGTAAGAAGATTGTCATTTTTCTAACGAAAATCGCTTGTAATTGACACCCGATGACGTCATAATGACGTCAGAGTAATATGCACCACTTAGGATGAGGATCGATATATATTGAAAGTAATGAGTTCCTATCATAAACCGTTTAGGAGAAAACCCGCCTAAAAAAAGAAAAGAAAAACCTGCGGAAAAATAGAAAGAAAGAAAGATTAATCGTAACAAATCCAAAGAGTGGTCGGGTTGTGCCCGACAACTGAATAACATACCAAAACAGCTGACTAAATGGCGATCGTGAACTTTTGGTGAAGTGTAGTCCGAGTAACTAGGACTCTACGGATCATTTTTTTAACATGTGGACATGGTCGGGCGATAGTAGAGTCAGACATCGATGGCCCTATTGCGGTTACTAATAATTATTTTTTGCCCATTTTCACTCGTACCCCCAATCATAATTATCAGATTTCACCCCCAAAACAGTCTTCAAACTGCCTTATGCGCCCCTGTTTGGCCTGTAGGCTTCAGTGGGAAGTGAAAATACAAACATGATGGTGGTGTAGTCCGAGTAACTAGGACTCTACGAATTGCCTTTTTTGACATTTAGGCCTAGACATGGTCGGGCGATAGTAGAGTCCTACACAAATGTAGGTACATAGCCTTATTGCATTACTAATAACTTTTTTTGACCATTTCCACTCGTACCCCCAATCAAAACCTTCAGATTTCACACCCAAAACAGTCTTCAACTTGCCTTATGTGACCCTGTAGTGTAGGCTTCATTGGGAATTGGAAATACAGTCGTTTTCCTATTTCCGGATTTTTCCTAGTTCCGGATGGCTTCAAATAAAAACTTACCTTTTTTTAATAAGTCTCAAATAATTTTTTTTTTCGGACGATGTGCATTTTGAAAAGGAAAATGAATTGTAAGCGCCTTGATACACAAAGATTTTCCCATAAAATCTTTAGAAGAGGAATTTTGGCCAGATTTCCGACTCGCACTTCAACATGTTTGGACGGTTTGTAGAAAATCGCGGGAGCTGCGTATCGACGATAAATTTCCCCCTCGGTATATCACTTGTACTGTGTGATTTCGAATATTTTGTTTATACAATACAGTCGTATAAACTCTTCCATTGAATGCTTGTTGAATCAAAAAAAATTGTAAAGTCTCTAAGTTTTGAAAATTCGCCAATGAATGACCGTATGCTTTTGCCTACATGTAGTTCCGGATAGCGCGTGCACTTATGACCCAACTACACGCACGTTAATCAATTTAATTTTCATTTAAAGCGGAAAAAAAGGTCATTTTTGTGACCGCCTTCAACCCCCAACTTCATGGTCATTCAAACAAATGGCAATCGTGTTCTGGGCCACAAAACATCAAAGCTCTGAAAAACTCATCAAAACTCACTTTTTTACGTCCAAAATGTAAGAAAATCTTACAGTGACATAAGTTTGATACCATTTCACGCAAGTTTGGAAAGTTTGGGGGCGAAAAACTGTAAGGTGAGTGTTCTGTAGTGATTTAAACTTTGGTAATTTTACGTGTGAAATGTCAATATCGCGAGCCCGCTGCGATAGGTACATTGTAACTTTGGGTGACAATCATCACCCGCCGTTCGTGGGTGATGAATGGCCCGAGCATCACCCACGAACGGCGCGCTACCGAGTGTATTAACCTTCTTAACACCCTTCAAGAATTCCTCATTATTGCTTGAACAAAGGCCTTTGTACATCTTCATTGTTGAATTTGTTAAAATGGAAAATCAAATTTGTTTATTTATGAGAAAAGAACAATGAGGTCACAGCATTGTTATTCTTTAGCAAATGTTATTTAAAGCATTTAAAAGAACGGCAGTTGTCAAGCTGCCACAGTAGCCTGCGCCTAATGCATTAATTAACGAGATGAGCTATGGATGCAATGGTCCCTGGTTCGAATCCTGTCCATTTTACCAGCGACCATTTTTTTTAATTGAGGGAGAAAAGGAGAACGAAAACGTAAGTGTCTTGCTGTGATTCTGTGAAATTACTGAATTATACAGAAGTGGCTGCGCGGCGCGCCGTGCTCCATTCGTACAAAATAATGGCGAGAAAAAACAATAGTGTGACGTCACAGGAGGGTGTTAAGGAGAGAGATTACGTAGTACATTGCAGATGAATGAACAATTATTTCTTGTCTGTTTTCAGGAGTCACAATGTAGAAGGAATGACACAAGCGGGCCAAGATGAGTGAACCATTATTTAACAGTGCTGTGACAGTGTGTATCAAGTGCACTGGGCATGATGACAGGTATAGGCATTACATAAACTAACATTGTTCTTAAACATTCCTACTTACTGATTAGCATGGACAGATATTCTTTATGAGAGTATAAGTTCTATTGTTATATTGTGTGCTCAGATACTGTAGTTGGTCATTGTCATTGGTCTAGGACGGCCATTGTCATTGGTCTGGACAATAAAAATGCATGTCGCACACTGAGGGTGATATCACACTGCGCGCAGTAACAAGCGCATGTGGAACCAGCCCGCACGCTGGCTTCGCTCAGTGAGAACTGCAACGTCAACCACTCGGTCTCATGTCCGGCAGGACATCAAAACCTTCAGTTATCAAAGGTTACATCACAATGATTGAATTTATTTCTCACACAGTAATTTTACAACCATTTATCGTTTTGACTTATTGGCACGATATAACAAAACAATTATTGACTGCTGTGATGTGGGATATACCGTTTTTAACCCCCTCGGGCGCATAGCACCCTCAGGTGTTGAAAACATCATATTCCACGTCACAGCAGTCACCAATTGTTATATATTACAGCTATTGATTATTGAGTATTTTCGATATAATGATGGGCACATGGAGATTGCCGTCTTGTTTTGTAGTGATGAAATATGAGAGTAGTTAAGAACACATTGAGCACCATTGCCGTCAAGAGTTAATTGGGGTAATCACAAGTCATATCACAAGTCAAATCACAAGCCAGGTCACTTGTCGGGTCACAAAAATGGATTAATAGTCATAAAGGAATGCCTTTGTTACATTTCAGTTGAATAGCTTGTAATACTAATAATAATAATGTGTATTTATTTAAGCGCACGTATCCACCATTATTGGTACTAAAGATGCTACGTCATTATCACACTGCTCATTGGGCCAATGAACACGATGAAACACTCCAAAGACAATCTCAGCTCCCTGGGGACAGGCATGCATCTTTTCCTCGGATGAGCTGATTTCCTCATTTTTCACTTCACACGTATGCCATTAAAAATTGAAAAAAAAACACTGTACAAAGTCTTGTACAGATTGGAGTTTTCTCTTTTTTTGTTACTTTCAAGTTGCATGCCTGTTGGGAGTGTACAAAGCTTGATGCTGCCTTTTCGGCACAAAGCAACTGAAATATACCACGATAGCCATCTCTGACCTCACAGGTACCCATTTACTCCTGGGTGGAGAGAAGTGCCTTGCCCAAGGGCACACGCACCATAACTGCAGGCTGGACTTGAACCCACAACCTGCAGAATTACCAGCAGACCATGAGTTCAGTGCTCCAGACCACAAGGCCACGACACTCCACTTGAGACTGAATGACTTGTTTGGTGAATTTGAGATGACGTGAGATTGACTGGATTCAAACTCTGCTGCTGTCATGCACCTAGGCTCTGGTGCATTCTACTGTGGAGATGATACAGCTTTGGGCACATTCAGAAGAATATTTATCTTGTACATGTATACTCCACATAATACACAAATGAACCAGTGAGTGAAGGCATTGTGTGGTCTCGTTAGTAGGCAATGAAGTACCATCCGGTGTTGTAGCCCAAGTCCTCAGTGTGGCTAATATTGAAGGCCCATGTCAATTTGCGTTATATTGCACTTCAACTTTCCTAACCCACCTCAATCCTCCTAAATCCTCCAGGTGGTTTTTGGAGGATTTTGGAGGATTGAGGCGCTGGGGATCCTTCATTTGAACATAAGTACTCAATTTTGAAGGATTGAGGAGGATTGGGGATGGTTCCCAGCAAAAAGGACCTGGAAGGTTAGGGTTAAGCATAAAGTGTTCTGCAGGGTTAACCTAACATAATTCGTATTTCCTTGTTTCATCATATCTCTCCAATCAGGACCTCATCGGTCAGAGTTCAGCTGGAAATTCAAACTGCATCGTCGCCATTACAGAGAAAGGTAAAAATAAACTTAGCAATCAGTTTAAATTGCATTTCCCATGCTGTTCTACAATTTAGATTTTTTTTCTATCAATATATTTGAAACTTGTGTATGTTTCAGTCCAACCAAAAAACTCTTTTTACATTTTTTTTGATGTCTGCAACCCTCTAAAAAAAGGTGTTTGTTTTGAGCACAAACAGATTCACTTTGTGAACAGACTGGCTCCTGGCCCATACATTATGAGTCACAAGCGCAAGTTGCCTTGGACTTTTTATTTTATTATACAGCAAATGTTGAACACAAACGGTAGATTTATTTTTACGATAATCTGACGCATTTTCGATATTTTCGATATAATTGCTCAATATCGAAAATTTTGATATTTCGATATGATGAAAAAAATTGCTATCGGCGATATCGATATCAAAATAATATTGAACAATCAAGTAATATGAATATATCAACGATGCTTACATGCTCCCCTCACAGTGGTGCACACCACCCCTAATTGCTACGCAAACATTCCACTCTACCTACACCCTGTGTCCGGATACACTGTACTACCTAAAAAATGTGAATTGAATAGTCGTTTTATCAGTTGTTGACTATTATTTCACCTTGTGTCCTGAAAGTGAAAGGTCACAATATAGGCAACCAAAAGTGGGACATTAGAGATCTGAAGCAAGATGAGAGCTGCGTGCTATTAGTTTTCTCTTAAATTGTTGGGAGAAACATCCCTTGAAGTGGAAAATAACGTGAAATGATAGCAGGCCAAATATTTTTCACAGCAAGGCAGATTGTAATGGTATTTTTTGGGCAGTTAATGTAAGTTACTACTACAAGGTGTCTACTTTCCACTTGTGCATTCTTCTGCAAGTATCAAGCTAGGCAATTTGGGGCTTCTTGTAGTCTTGTCGAGGTACATGTGCGTGTATCAATTTCTAATTAAAATCAAATTGCGGGAAAAAAGCTTGAAGAGAAGTAGGTCTATTGACTAACGTTAAATTAAATTAAATTTTCTCCAAAACTGCAGGCAGCTTGATAATTGATAATATCAGTAATATTACTCGACAAGAACAGTTAATTTAGATGTTTCTATTGCCAAATGCATTTGCTAATTTGTACTCTTAAATATCACAGCACACCAGTTTAACGTTAGTTACGCTGTCCACTTAACGTTAGTTACGCCGTCCACGTATTATATACCTTGACAAGACTAAAATTGCCTTGTTTGATACTTGCAGAAGAATGCACAAGTGGAAAGTGGACACCATTTATTGGCCTATCATCCTTTCAATGTTGTTTTCCAATGTTTCTCCCAACAGTTTAAGAGAAAACTAACAGCATGCAGCTTTCATCTTGTTTCATCTCTAATTAATGCCCCACTTTTGTTTGCCAATATTGCAACCTTACACAAATATGTAAACCCGAGGATTAGTCATGCTTGTCAGTGGCATTCACTATCAGTCAATCAATCAATCAATCTTATAGCCATCTTATTCTGGATTCTTTTGTATGTTTTACCATGTGATCTATAGAAAATGTTTGCTGCATCTTTAGAGTGGTGTTAAAATCTGCAAAGGTTTCTATAATAAACAGACAACACTGATGAGCTAGTTACCCAACATTTTGTTTGGGTATCTGGCTCATATCTGTCCGAGCCTCAATACAGTTAAGCATATTCCACTTGGGCCATTATCGGTGACCAGGCCCCTAACCTGTTTTAAATCAAATATTTGAATCTGTTCCATCCCACCATTATTCTCTTATTAATTAATAAGGGAATAACAGTGTGAGGAGCCGGTCTTCACTGCGTGATAATGACCGGGTGTGGGGGTGACCGCTGTTAATGGACCGAGACGAAGTCGAGGTCCATTAACAGCGGTCACCCCCACACCCGGTCATTATCACGCAGTGAAGACCGGCTCCTCACACTGTTATTCCCATTAATAAATACCTTTATAACGAAATAAACAGTTAAAATGCTCCACTTTTGTGACTTTTTTCCGGCGATATTTCCAGACTTTTTTGTGTTCATGTTCATGGGCCATATTTTAGCTTAACAGCTATAACGACGTAAACTCAACAGAAACTGCTGCCGTAGCGAAACAAATTACAACAATGTTTTCATATCTTTACCTAATGGAGGAAGCTGAAATCTCGTTTACACATTCCTTGTGTCCGGAATTACAAAGATGCTTGGTTTAAGAAAGGTAAATATGTCGGTGGGTGAAGTGTTTCAAAGAAAATAAATCGTAAATCTACGCTTTCGTCGTAAACATCCTCAGTATATACTGCACTGCTGTACGATGTCGTTTCAAAACTTCCTTATGCGCGCGCACGCACGCATCCCTAGCAACTGTGTTGCGTACGCGCGCGTCAGTCTCACGCGATGGGGGTCGAGCGCATGTGCAGTGCTCAATTGTTAAAAGCTACCGCAGGACTGTTACTATATTTTGACCAATCATTGGCTTCCATGGGGCTGAACGGGGCTTGATCAATGCTGGTTCAGGGGCCATTTATTCGCTTGATCTTTGAAGCCAGTCCATTATCACTGTTAATGACCGGCCACGTGATCAAGTCTCGACCAATCAGAAACCATCAACTCTCCAAGGTATTTATTAAAACAAATTAATTGTATGAAGTAGTTTTGCGATTGGTTTTATTTGTAGAACCAACTTCAGAACCCTGATAACTGAAGTTCCTTTCTGTTTTGGCCAGTTACACAAGCTTGATTTGTGTTTTGATTTCAGGAACTGAATGTCCGTCTGACAGATGACGCTGATCCTTTCTTCCTATTCAACCTTATGCTTGGAGAAGACGACTTTCAAAGGTTTGTATGGCTCACTTGTAACTCCATTCGCTGTTTGCACAACAAGTACGTGTGCTGTTTGGTAGTTGTTGCTTCATTTATTTTGATATGCATAGAATAAGACTCCGTTTGCCATGGGGGCTGCAGACATTTTCGTTTCGCATCCCCCAACATGTACTTTGTCTAACAGTTTAAATCACAATTATAAAGTTTGTTCACATTCAGTAGGACTGTGTCGTATATACTGAATATTCAAATATTGGATCATCCACTGAATATAAGGATAGCATTTTCCAATTTGAATATTGAAAAGTATAAGCAGTTTGAGAGCATATTTTTTTTTTACCCCACAAGCTCGAAAATGGAAAATTGATTGCGGAAAAATTGGTATCGCAATTACGATCCGGACACTGATCATGTACTGCTCATGTGTGCATTCTATCGTGTGTTTTGAATAAATTGGATACACGAACTGAATGAATACGACTCTCGCTAACTTTTACTGCCAAAAATTTCCGCTCCTGGTGAGTACCGTGCTATGTCTTTAATGAGTTTAACCTTGTTCAAGCCGCAGCGGAAATTTTTCAGAAAAACTGCAGTAACATGTTTGAGTCGTGATCCATTCGTGTATCCAATTGATTGAGATACAAAATTTTCCGCAGCGTTCATTTCATGCACGGTCACGTGACTACTTTTCGCGATCGAATTTTCCGTTTTCAAGCTTGGTGCCGTTACATGAGGGTATTTTTCAATAACTTTTGGCACCCATGGACAGCTCAATGTCCCATTTATCAGTTTTTAAAACTCTGTATCCAAAATTGTGTTATTTTCACTGAAAAAAGAGAGAAATTCTGGACAGCTCTGGATTCCCCATGCCTTTTATGTTGTGGATTTTCAGTCAAGGTCACGTGTGCCCCCCCCCCACCCCCCCCCCCAAGCCATTGCACAATCACGATTTCAAGCAAGATGCCAGTATCAGCAAAACAGGTTATTGCACTGGTAAAAAGTCAAGTGCTAGTATGACTATGAGTGCTGCAACACTGATCTTTCCCCATGTGTTTCTTGTGTTCTTGCAGTCTTAAGGTTCAGCAAGGTTTGTTGGTTGACTTCACAGCCTTCCCCCAAAAGCTCATAGAATTGCTGCAACGATGTGCTGAGGAACAGAGTAAAGACGCTCCAAAGTAAGTCCAATGAAGGCTCCTGTACATGTTTTTTTTTTAAAGAATTTTGAAAGAGAAGTGACAGGACAGTTTCCTTGATCAAACCTGTGACAGCCAAAACTGTGAAGTTGGAATTGTTTTCTCTGTTATCTACTTGATCCAACTGGAAACCAGGGTGCTGTGGTCCAGTGGTTACGGTGTTTGACTCGTGTGCCTTGGTACATGGGTTCAAATCCTGACGGGGAACATGGTGCTTGTGCGATTGGGCAAGGCACTTTACTACGATTGCCTCTCTCCACCCAGGTGTAGTAGGAAGAAATTCCTTCAATGTTGGAGCGCCATAATGGCAGCCGTGCTAAAGCCAGGGTAATAATAAGAGCGCCAGGAGCATCACTTCATGACGGACATGAGCGCTATACAAGACGCCATTATTATTATTATTATTATTATTCACCACATAATGCCGAAAAAAGGTTTTGTGTTTATGATAACCAGACCTATACCTGGATTTGATAAGATAAAGTTTACGGTTGCACCTTTTAACAAATTGCCTGTAAATTTGATGTTATTGCTTCATCACTTTGCAATCCTTCAAATCTAATCTACCTTGATTTTTTGTAGCCAAATTGGTGACCTCAAACTTTTTATAGCCACATTTGGCAAATTATTTTTAAAATAAAGTATTATTTGAATATCAATGAGAGCTAGTCCTATTGAACAATGCCACAGTTGTATCCTGCTGCACTCTGTGACCACAGACTCTTAGGCTGTTTGGTTTGGAGACTTTTGACCTGTTGGATCTCGCTGCACTGGGCAGGCTTGTCATTTAGACAAGTTTTGCATGTTGCTGCGTTTGGCAGGGTTTCTAGCCAAAATAACCTGGAGGGTTAGGGTTAAGAAGGGTTAATAATACAGATGTGTTTTTCTGTTTTCCACTTGTGCAGATTTGTGTTGCAGCTGATTCGGTCGGAGCCCCTAAGCCACGGTCTAGCTGAGCTGTGCATTGTGGAGACCAACCCATTCAAACATCTTACCCATCTTGCTCTCAAGCTACAGCCAGGTGGCGACGCTGATGTCAAAAAGTACCTGGCGTCTTGCTTGAAACGCTTGCAGGTTGGTGTGATGAGACAGTCACGGAGGGATTGTCTGAAAAATACCTCGTCCCATCATATATCTTACTGAAACATTGCGGAGATTGAGCACGTCGAATTCACACAAAGACCTAGGGCAAATCAAATGGCAATAATTAATGGTTGAGAAAAAATAAAGCTAAATTAAAAGAAAATGTGCTAATATAAGTTTTCCCAGCTATTTCAACACTTATATCACAAAAATTCCCTATAACGACACTTTAATTTTGTCCACGAACATCGTTGAGCTCAATTTCCAATTTCAATTTCAAAAAGCGTCCAATGGATTTCATTTAAGGTGCAGTATAATTCCAATGTGTGGCATTCTAATTCATCCTAATTTTGATACATTTATCTCTTGTGGTGATTGGCGTTCAATTGAAAAAGCAAATTTGTTTTTTGTCATTCATATTACTTTGGTCATTTAAATTCAGCCAGAGCATTTCCTAGCCCATTGAAGGCCTATACATTTCTGGGTATTTCTGCATTTTCTTGTGCCTCGGCTTTGAGACTCGATCCTGGAAAAAATGGCTGTCAATGCTGGAGTTCAGAGAGGCCTAGACAATAAGGTATCTAACTGGGACAGAAACCTTATCACAGATGCCTTCGAAGGAGAACAATTCAATTATCTGGTTGTTGCTGACACTTTCGGGTCTAAGCGCCCTACTGCTCGCAGCGTCATACTTATACCTTCGTTAGAACAGAAGAGATGCGTTACCAAGAGCAGGGAGAAGTCATTCAAAAACGATCAAGAAATGATGAAAACCCCTTGTTAACCTTGGGCCAACTAACCAAATGAAAGACTACGGCAGCAGCTCCCTGACAAGCCACATATTGCCAAAGGTACACTAGCTCGGAGTATATAAATGCCGTGCTGATCACACTGAAGTCTGCTCAGGATGTACCACAAGGCCCCAAACACCGAGCGTCGAAACTACAAATCTCATTAAATACCTGAATACGCTAAACCCTTCAAAGTATAAGTCCAAAAGATCGGAAACATTTCCTAGCTGTAAAGTTTCGGCTTACCAGAAACAAAATGGAATGACAACAGAATCAAATTGACTGACAACAGATGAATTTGCCTTTTCAAAACAATGCTTAATTTACCAAATGTAGGATGAATCAGAATGCTACAAATTTGAATTATACTGCACTTTAAATGAAATCCATTGGTGGATTTTTATAATTGAAATTGGGAATTGAGCTCGACGATGTTCGGGAAGAAATTAAAGTATCGTTATAAGGAATTTGTGTGATATAAGTATTAAAATAGCTGAGAAAACCTATAGTAATTAATGTATATAATTGGTATATTCAGCATAGAGGTACTAATGAAGGCATGCCCGTTGCTATTTCTTTAACAAATTCTGCCTTCATACGCAGCTCTGTGGTCTCTAGCTGAAATAATGGATGTTCAGCAGAAAACATACTTAAATGTAGGCCAATCAACCTAGTTGCTTTTCATTTATGTTTTAAAAAAAAATTCAGTTCCCAAAACATCAGTATTTAAAGTCTACCGTAGAATGATAGTGACTGTGAATAAATTATCGTGTGGATACTAAACTGTTTAAGAAAACAATACAAATGATTAACATGTTCTTTAAGAAACATGAATTAAAGGGAGCTGCAGTACAAATTGCGACAACACGACAGATGTAATCATTTAAAAAAGTGGTTTGTACAGACCTACGTATCCTTACTCCATGTTTTCTCAATAATTTAGTCTCTTTTTGAGTAACTTCAAATGATTCTTTTGCTGTTTCTTTCACCAGAATAATAGCTCTCAATCTTACAAATAATATTTTGCTTATACCTGTCAGATTGATAGGAAATTCATCCATTGATTTCTGTCTTTTTTTCGCAGGGTGACCATAACAACCTTTCTCAAAGACTCAAACTGACTGAGTCGACGCTTTCAGGACAGCTCCAAGAGTCTCAGAAGGTATGTTTTGTAACAAACTTACATTTTTATGCCCCGCGGCGAAGCCGAAGGGGCATACTGTTTCCGCCTTGTCCTTCCGTGGGTGGGTGGGTGGGTGGGTGGGTGGGTGTGTGGGTGTGTGTGTGGGTGGGTGGGTGTGTGTCCGGACAAATCTTGTCAGCGCGATAACTTGAGAAATACTTTACATATGAACTTCAAATTTGGTTTGTGGATTGTCCTTGGTAATCCTAAGAAGCCTTTTGCATTTGGGGCCGAAAGGTCAAGGGTCAAGGTCACAGTGGCTGAAACAATAGAAATTTTGTCAGCGCGATAACTTGAGAAATACTTTACATTTGAACTTCAAATTTGGTTTGTGGATTGTCCTTGGCAATTCTAAGAAGCCTTTTGCATTTGGGGCCGAAAGGTCAAGGGTCAAGGTCACAGTGACTAAAACAAAAGAAATTTTGTCAGCGCGATAACTTGAGAAATACTTTACATATGAACTTCAAATTTGGTTTGTGTATTGTTCTTGGTAATCCTAAGAAGCCTATTGCATTTGGGGCCGAAAGGTCAAGGGTCAAGGTCACAGTGGCTGAAACAATAGAAATTTTGTCAGCACGATAACTTGAGATATACTTTACATATGAACTTCAAATTTGGTTTGTGGATTGTCCTTGGCAATCCTAAGAAGCTTTTTGCATTTGGGGCCAAAAGGTCAAGGGTCAAGGTCACAGTGGCAAAAACAAAAGAAATTTTGTCAGCGTGATAACTTGAGATATACTTTACATATGAACTTCAAATTTGGTTTGTGGATTGTCCTTGGCAATCCTAAGGAGCCTATCGCATTGGGGGGTCGAAAGGTCAAGGGTCAAGGTCACAGTGGCTTAAACAATAGAAATCTTGTATTTATTCTGAGATCATAGGGATTAGGGATTAATTCATATAAAACCTACAGAAGACACTAATGCTGTCAATGAACGTTCCATTTGACCAAGGTACATGTAAGTTGATGTTAGAGTGGTGTTATGTCATGGAAACAGTCACGGTTGCGGGGCATTTGTGTTTGTAAACACACCTGACTTGTTTTTTCTGTTCCTTGTTTACTAAGGCTTCATAGGAATAGAAAGGGAAAATTCTTAGCATTTTTTATTTACAAGTGCTGACTCAGGAAAAAGTAACCACTTTGCGGTCTCTGCGCCCAACTTGTCTTTTGTCTTAATACGTCCCCCGAAATGAAAAGGAAATTAAAAAATAACTACCTCCATCTGTTTCCTTGCGATTCCACTAGCACTCTCTAACAAGTAAAACAAGCCAACATTTTGCATAGTAAGGATATCTCAGTGCTGAAGAATGTCGTGTGTCTTGCACGCTGTTTATTTGTAGTAACTTCTGTCTTAGTAATGTTTACATGTATGCCATTTTGTCTGTTTTTATGCAAATTTAGTAAACTACTCGCGAGTACTCGAATACTCGTGAGTAATTTCTCTGCGAGTACTCGAGTAGGAAAATCCATTACTCGCCCAGGCCTATATACAACCATAGGCTTTCAGACTTTCTGAGATTATTTGGCAGCATAACAAGCAAGGGTGCCCAGCCACTCTAAAATCAGGGAAAACCTTGAAAAGGAGTTTCCATTTTTGCAGTTGGGGAAAAACTCAGGGATTTTGGGTAAAGCACAAAAATTCAGGAAAAGCTCAAGGAACTTGACAGTGATCCAGAAGGGAAAGGTTTTTGCCCGATTGGCGCAGGTGCGTCTTGTGCCTTGTGTCCAAGTTGTGTTCATTGACTGACTGGCATATGGTGGCTTGTTAGTGTTGGTGCAGTGTGAATATCACACACCTCTCCAACAGTTGGCTGTGCTGCATATACCTACGGGAAATATCAGAGAAAACTGAGGGAATGTTGTTTTCATAAAGTGCTGGGAACCCTGCAAATGGTAAAAACAGGATTTTGAAACAAAATACAGCAACCTAAAAAAAGGAGCAAAACAGTAAACCTCCTCCTCCGCCAAAAAAAGGGAGCAAAACAATGTTTTTCTTTTTTACTTGACTCAGCGTGAATAAGTAATATGAAAAAATAAAAATAAGAGTAATTATCTGCTCTTGTTGTTTTTATGGTTAAATATTGATATCTATTTTTCCTGACTAATCAACGATATGGATTGAATTATTTCTTTCAATACATGGGAAGTATTGCTTGCTTGCAAAGTGTATGATCAATGGCCATTGGCTGTGATAAATGTGCAGTGAGTATTGACTCAGTCCGGTGTTACAACACAGAACAAAACCGAAAGGTAAATTTTTATAGAGGTCTGAGACAAAATTATCACAACATACTAGAGAAAGCCCATGCTACTTTTGCTGAAAATGTGGGGTAAGCTTTTCTATTTCAACACAGTAACTAGTCGAATGGTTCATTTGGGGAAAAGAAGTTTTGACTTTTTGGGTGAAATTATATTTATTTCCGGATAACAATGTTCGCTATAAAACCATAATTGCCTCATCCATGGATTCTACACAGTTTGTGATTCCTTCAATAGCCTAGAGCATTGCTACTTAACTTCTGTTTTGATTGAAATTAAATGAAAAGTAACTTGGAGTTTTCAAACTTCCCCATTAATTCTTGTAATAAAGTTTGTAGCGTGTCGTCCAAACATGTAAGATATTAATGCAGAATGCACGCATGCCTGCAGCATGCATGTACAAAGATGTGGATCTTAGATTGCTTGTATTATGGTATTCATTATAGCACTTTGGTGGCTGTGGGGAGGTATAAATTGGATGTGGTATACACTTTTTTGGAGTTAGGGTACATTTTTTTGCCATATCCACTGTCTTTTTGAATTGCTTTATTGATATTGAGACTGAAGTTTCTGTAACAGAAACGTTTGCTGTGACTTCATTTTCCTCTTCTGTTATTTGTCTCGCCAGGCACTCTCAGCTCGTACTCGTGAGCTGGAAAGCCTGAGATCAGAATGGAGTGCCCACACAGACAGCCTGAATGCCAAACACAAGCAGGAGATTGCTGAGATCAAACAGAATGCGTTACAGGTACGTATGTCTGCTGCCATCAAGGCAAAGTCTAAAGGCCCATGCCCATGATGTACACACTGTCCTGAGAGGTCCAACAGCCAAGAGTGAATTCTGTCAGGTCAAAAAGTAGCCAACAACTGGAACATGAGCATTTGCAGTTCATTTGTGCAGGTCTACCAAATCATAAGGTGGATAAGCGATTGGCAATTTACTTAACATGCAAGTTAAATTTGAAGAAATTCTTGTATACTGTAATGAGAAACAGATTTCATCCTAGAATACAATGTATATTACAGACTAAACCGGGACCGGCGTGAAGTCAAACTGGATGATGATGCCTAGCGGCGATATCCAGTCAACTTTCTGAGAGATTCTAAAGACACTGTTGGTGTATAATATGATTTCCGATAAGCTCTCGCATAGCTTAAGCGATTCCTAGTACCAGTATGTGGTTCACAGTTGCTGAAAATACAAAGACACCCACTGGCAGATCTGGGAGGGGAGGGGGAAGCATGGGCCATGTGCCCCCCCCCCCCATCTCCTGCCAAAAACATATCATTGTGAGAGATTATTAAAAATGTAAAGCTTGCATTTTGTGGTATTGTATTGTTTGACTTTCAACTGTAATTAACAATGCAGACATGAAACTGAAGGCCTGGAACCACAAAGAATGGAAATCAAACTTGTGAAAGAAGTTGTTTCTCTTTCTGTTTGAGAGTCTTTTGCAAACATTCTGAGCACTATTAAAGAAGAATACTGCGGTATTAAAATTTCCATACCAAGTTCACCTGTGTTTTGGTATTCATGAATTATTAGTCAGTATTGATCAGTATTAAAAAAACACCATGACTATCCGGTAATACCGAAATACTGTCCAAGCCTTGGCTTTACATTAACATCAAATGAGGCTTTATTTTAATGCTACTTGCTATACAGAGAAGGCACGGAAGAGAACTGTTTTCAAGACCCCCCTTTCCCTCTATGGATTCATGAAATACTCATCAATAGTAAGAAAAGAAAAGAAAAAGCCCAAAAGAAAAAAAAAGCCCAAAAGAAAAAAAAAAGCCCAAAAGAACCAGAAGTTGGTGGTGTAAATACTGATTCACATGAAAGATATTAGAATTGCTCACATGATCTTCTGTTAGCACAGGTATTTAACCATGCTAAAAGCTCGTCGGCATACATGTACTCCCTCCACAAGGGAAACTGGGAAAAAAAGTTGATATGGGGATTTGACTTTTTTCGTGTCTCATTTATCACAAAATGTGTTGACACGTCGGATTTGATGTCATTATGTGGATTTCACTATTTTGTGACAACCCCTTTGTCTTTGGAAATTGCCTTTGAATTGTCATTATTATTTATTGGTCTGACGCGCTGTTATGAATCAAATGCAAACATGTTGCTGTCTGTCAACTGTTTTTTTTGGAGCAGTTTTGTTTGTATGGTCTTTGCTATCAGCTCTATCGAAACCTTGCAGTGGTGTGTACATCTTGATGTTGGAGATAAGACTCATTGTGTTTGACTCACTTTTGTCACTCATCAGCTTGTTGTATTTTTGTGTACCTTTCTCACTCCCCACATCACCTTGTTTACAATAACAAAGCATGGCAACAGATGTTATTAGACCTTTTATCAAAACTCAAAAGCAATTGTCAAAGAATTGAAACCTGAATGGTATATGTGTATGATTAACACACAGTTTCATCACCAGTACATGTAGTTTCGTAATTTACTACCGTATGGAGACATGTGTATAATAGGGAACAAAAGATTGTGTACGTCTCCACAGGGCAATTTCTAAAGGTGAATAATATTATGTCTCCACAAGGTTATCACGAAATTGATATATGGATTTTACTCAATAAGGAGGAATTTCCAAGGTGTGTTGATCAGTCACAAATTGAAGTATTTTATGTAAGGCCAAAAAAAAATGTTCGGTCTCTGGTCAGACCAAAGTTCCGGAATTTACGCGGCGACGCATTTTTTTTGGTTGTTGTTGCTGTTTTTCTTTTTTTTCTTCAAGCTTGGATTGTACAGACAACGTGGGGTACTATTTTGCTTTTTTGGTGTCCTCATGTACATTGGTGTCCATAATTTGCCTTGGTGCTTTCGATCATTTGCTTTGGTGCAATTTCCCATTCCTTGGTGCTCTTTGGTAAAAAAAATTGAGGAGGTGCGGCAATAGAGGGCGCTGTTGGAGCTACCGCGGAACATTTTGGAGAAAAAAAAAGAATCTACGCGCGCGCTGACCAGAGACCGACTTATTATTTTTTTTGGCCTAAGGGATATTAAGTCTGAATTTCAGCCCAGGAAATTAATTCTGGTTGAAATAGGAGCATTTTGAAACTGCATTTTCACACTCACACTAAAATGTTAGTACATAAGAACAAAGAAATGACTCCACAAGGATAAAAAAATAATCCATTATGAGTACAAATGTATGTGTATATTGAGTTGGGGAAAATGTGCTGAACTTGTCACAGAATTAAATGATTTAAACAACTACTCACGTCTTCTAAAATACATGTTTGTAGTTTCAGTCCAATCCAAAGTTTTTGTTGAAACCTACTCACTGATTGTTCCTGTTTATTTCTCTTCAGTCTCAGCGAGACACGGAGCAACGTTATGAGCAGGAGAAGAAGCAAATGGAAGACATGAGACAGCAAGGGTCTTCTGAACTGCAGTCTCGCCTAGCTGACCTTCAGACAGCCAATAAGGTGAAAGCTTTAATAGTCTCATTGCACAGGCAACAAGGGCTTGGAATTACGGACTGTACACTACCACAGGGTTCCTGAGGCCTGGGGAAAAAAGCGGAAAAGCCAGGGAATTTTGTTTTCAATTTCCAGGTCTGGAAAAGTCAAGGAAATTTGTAAAAATAACAAAAAAGTCGTGGAAAGTTGAGGAATTTTTTGAGGACCAATTTGTGTCCCCATTTCTGTGAAGTAATTTTCACGAGTTTTACAGTTTTTATCTGCATTTCAATGAACTAGTTCATGGATTTTCATAATTTTGTCATGGAAAAGTCACAGAATTTTATTGTCCTAAAGGCAGAGTTGTAATGACTTGAGTAAATGACTCGACTCAAGTCCGACTCAAGTCCGACTCCAGTCACAATTGTTGGCGACTTGACTCGACTCAAGTCCCTCATCAGAAGACTTCACTCAACTAAAGCCGAAGGCTAATAACACTCGATCAGTACCAAAATTGTGCGAAAATTGAATTTGCGGTGACCTACGGTACAAAGTTATTCATGTTTGTGTACTCTGTGTTACTGTCAAGTTGTGGCCTCTTATCATGGACTCCCACCTTGTGGTTTCTAGAACTATCCCAGAACCAAACTTTAAAAGCATTTCCCAATTCTTGGTTTCGTCACGGCTTCAGGCCATTTCTTCAGCCCTTGGTGGAACTCCGGCTAAATTGATGTCCTGCTTTAAAAAAAATAATTAGATGTATTTCTATACAATCAAAAAAAGTTCCGTATGTTGCAATTTGGTTTTGACGTTGTCAGCATGAAAATTATTCCAGACCCGACCCTGCTCATCACATCGCTCTGGGCCCATTTTATTTTTTTTAACAATTACCAGAAAAGACCCATTAAATGCCAGGGTTGGCATTAAATTGGTACTGATGGTAAGGTACCTTGCAACCTTACACAGTGGCTCACACACAAAGAGATAGAAAACATACATGGGCATCCAACTGTTGCATTAAGTGCATCACGCTTGCGTATGATTTCATGCCTCTTGATGCACACTATAGGGCCACATCATCCTGAAATCACCGAAATGTTTAGTTTTAGATCGTATATTCATCCTATTTCAAAAAGTCTGGTTGAAAGGAAACTAAAATAATGTCGCACTGTTACTAGAAATCTAAAAATTAATGTGGCCTGACGTTGCGAACTTAGCAAGTTCTTCTTCAGAGGCTAAAACTGGCTGTTTCAGAGGCTGTTTTAGCCTCTGAAGAAGAACTTGCTAAGTTCGCAACGTCAGGCAACATTAATTTTTAGATTTATATATTTCAGGTCCATCCAGTCAGTAAGCAGTTTGCAGCAGTCTTACTTTTTTTCCTGTTACTAGAAACTTAGACGATCAAACCCTGGAGTTTACATCTGATGTGGCGGACATTTTGTGGCATACATGCATTTCAAGCAGTAAAAATAAATCTCCTTCATGCCCCTAGCTTCTCTGTCCATGATGTCAGACGATTCAATGCATGATACACATTGTATGTGTACACACACACACACAGCGCCAATAATACACAAATGTTGTTTCTCGCACCTCTCCAGAATGCGATGCACTGGTGGAACATGTGCGACTGGAATCACGACTAGCACCCAAACAGCTCAATTTTTGGGAGTCGTGTTGACCCCGAAATTCGCTCTCGCAGGAATAACACAAAAATTGCCAATTTTTAAGGGATGGTTGTGTGGACATTTATATCCTACTTTTAAATGCTCTTTCTAGTTGGCACCAGTTAACACCGTTTCATTTAAAGTGCATTTTGTAGCCCAATTGGGCACTTTTCAGGATGTAGTGTCACTTTAAAGGCACAGGTTTACTGAACATCTATATTGATTAGTTCTTTTCATACTGAGTTATGTCACTCGAAGAAATTAATATAATTTTCAATATCTTTATATTTGGTGTCATTCTCACAAAGCGATTCAACCTACAAACAAGTAACTTTGAGCTGCAAATGGCAATCAGTCTGACACTTACCTTTTTTATACATGTGCATTATAGGTCTGTTCTGGCAAGCAAAAGACGTTTGTCATAAATGATTGTCTATTTTCATTTGGCATCCATTCCATGACATAATGATGGGAATCAACTTCTCTTGCCAAACAGATTCCAATTAAGTTTCTCTTTTGTTCATCTACACAAACTTCTTAGTGATCTGTTCATGTCAGTAATCAGTTCATGTTGTCTTGATAAAACTTTAAGCCAACTTTCCCCTATTGTAAAACATTAAAGAGAACCATTCCAAGTTTCTCAAAGAGTGCTGCATTCACACACAAATAAAAAAAAAAGCCCAACATTTTTTATCTTATTTTCTTGCATTTCAAGTCACTTTAGTTTAAATGAATCACATATGAATTATGAGTAGAATATGCCTGTATGTAATAACTCAAATGGGAGAAGACAAATGACTTAAAAATTCACCAACAAGTATTGATATATGTTGCTTCATGGTTTACCACATTTCCATGATAGGAGACATCAGTTGTGTATTTTTACGTTGCGTTTGCAACGATTATGCAAGCGCATCATCAAGTTGGTGTTTCCCCACCTGGAATCCATTGAAGTTCAATCAGTTCACTTACATGTATGCCAGTGTCAGACTGGCGTACCAGAGTCGCGCCGAATCAAGGCATTACTGGGTTTTGAATAATATATGTACATTAAAAGTTTGACGTTTGAAACAATTAGGAGCAACTACAAGCGGAAGATATTGAAAGATTGACTGTTCAAGTCGTTCGGAACGACTCTAGAGTGCCTTGGTTCCAGACGTCGTTCTAGTCAAGACTTGAACTCAATGTAAATTAATGTAAATGTAAGGTAATTAGAATGTTTGACCTTGAAACATCCCGCAATCCACTGGCAATGGGAATGTGAAGAGAACGCTGGCATGGCTGGTGTGAATCAAGCGCTAGTGTCTGTTAAAAGGAGAAACTGTTTGCGTCTGATTGGGTACCTCAGAGGCACACAAAGCCAACATATCAGCAGTGTCTCAGGTTTTGCAGAGCCTGTCTGAAGTCTGGGTTCTTGATGAAATAGATGACCACGTTAAGCCAACTGTTGGCCATGAAACAGCAGTGGATAAATGCTCTCATTCCTTCTGATCTATACTCCTCCACATCGGGGTAATATTTCTGCGCTATGGACTGGTAGAGGGATGGAATCCAGCTCACTATGACGGCAGCAAATATGATGAAGATGGTCTTGGCTGCGCGGAGTTTAACTCTATGTAGTGGCTGGTGTGGAGACACTTGCCCAATTGACTTGGTCTCTTGCTGTATACGCTTTGCCTGACGTCGAGCAACTATCAGAATGTGGGAGTACAAGTAAACCATTATCCCGAAAACAATGACATAAAAGATGATAATCATGTACTGCCGCAGCCCTGAGTTGGGTGGCCAGATGCACATGTGTGGTGGATGTGTTGCGATGATGCATTGGTTGGAAGTCAACACTCCAAAACAAATGGTGCTGACGGCAATGCTTAGGAGCCATATTGAACAGACAGCTAGTCGTGCCCGCCCTTGAGTCATCAAGATTGTATAACGTAGTGCATACACGATGGCAATGTAGCGATCGACAGTCAGGAGCAGTAGGGAGACCACGCTGGTGGCGATTAAGACAGTGGTGATGACTCCATAGGCTATGCAGAGGAAATCCCCAAATGGCCAGGAGCTAACCAGGACCTCAGTGGCTCTAGGTATCACCCAGATCAGACCAATACCAAGATCAGAGACTGTCAGTGAGGTTAGAAACACTCTGGTGCTATCCTGGATGCTGGTGAGGCGATGGAGAACCAACAGACACAGTGGGTTGAGAAAGAGGATAAGAAGCCCATCAAGAACTAAGATGATTGTTGCAAATGTCAGCAGTCCCTGCAGGGGCTCTTGGGTGTGTGTTGAGTTGGACAGGTCCACCGTAGATACAGCTGGCGTTGTGTGCAAACCTGACATTGCCGTTGAGTTCTTAAGCGTCAAACCAACTCTTTAGATCAATGTAGATCTTTAGTAGCCAGTGCATGCACATCACATACAGCCATTTTCAGGAAATGTAAAAGGCTCACACTGAATATGTTCTGACAAAAATAACGGCTTAAGATTGCAATCAGATGACTGTAACAAGTGCAAATGCAAAAACCAGCCTACTGGCTTGTCTGTTTCTCTGAAATGAAAGAACCTTGCATTAGTTGCAATGAAAAGTTAATTATTTGCTTTGTCCACACCTTAGTAGTCCATATGTTGCTCCAGAGGCTAAATTTGTATTTGTCGCTCACGAATGCCAGGTAGACAAATTACCCAGTAGTTTGAACATTAACTTTTCTGAGTCAGAAGTTTTACACATATTTTGGTAGAATAGCAGCTGAGTATGCGAAGCACAGTATTTAAAGAAGTCTGCTTTTTGTTTACTTGTTTTTTTTTTTTTGGTTCTTTTATTTGCTGAGGTCATTTATAAGAGTTGATCATTACAAGAACACTCCATCATGCATGCAATCTTGGTGCATATCAAGTTAGGGTACAAAGATCTTTGAGCCCCCTTACATTATATATATATTTTTTTTAAAAGAGGGCACTCGTGGCACAGATTGATTTTGCTGTGGAGTTCTGCGACAATGTGGTGCCTTCTTGGTTTATTCTGACAGGTCTACTTACAGTATGTTTACATGAATCGTGAGAACATACTCATTTTGTAACCTACTTAGATGGACATAATGGTGGATGAGTGATTTTCCTGTGGTCTCCCCCCCCCCCAGCCTCGCAAGCAAGCTACATTGATCAACAGATCATCTATGCTTTCTTTGATTGAAATCTCAAAATCATCAAAATTTCCTTAAACTTGTTTCTTTTCATTGATTAAAAGAAATATAATTTATCAGAAGAATAGACGACTTCCACTTTAAGCAGTTTTAAAAAGATATTGACTTTGCTGGCCCTTTTAGTTTGTACCATCACGAAACTGAGCAGTTGTTCTCCTTAATGAATTCTGACAGAAAAAAATAGTAAAACTTTACAATAAAGAAATGCAGAAGAAAAACAAAATATAACACAAAATAGGCATGCAACTTTTCCTCGGATCCGCTGATTTCCTCGTTTTCTTCTTCTCATGAATGCCATTACAAATTGAAAAACACTGTATAAAGTCTTGTGTGATTTGGAATTTTCTCATTTTTTTCCCCTTCTAAATCCCCAGTTGCTTGCCTGACAAAAGAACTAAAAAATATTTTTGGGATTGAAACTGTTTGGAATGAATCTGAAGATGACTTTATTAAATTTTCTTCCGGATTTATGTATTTTGGTTATTCAAGTTACCTTTTTGTCTGAATGACATTTTTTCTATTCCCTATTATCTGATTTTACTGGATAGGAATTGACTGACAGGAAGTATCGGCTGGAGTCATCTGTCAGGGAGCTGAAAGGAAAACTGACAACGTTGGAGGAGGTACGTGCTAAGATACGACTTAACCATGGCAACCAAGTCATGATCTAGCTGATATAAACAGAATGCATACAATTTCGCGCTAATGATATGTTTCATGCTGATTTATCACCTTGGAACAACTGGACTTTCACTGTGGTCTAGAGAAGTTATTTATTCCCTTTTTTATTGAATTAGGAAAGATTAAAAAAAGATTTGTAGAAAAAGAAAGAGTAAGACAAATTATTTGGGGAAAAAAAAGGTAAAGGAAAGCTCATACTGTAAAAAGGATTTTTTTTGGGGGGGGGGGGGAACTGGCCATTTTTTTTTTTAAAGAACATGCAATGAGCGAACTGTAAATGTCAGTTTAGATTTTAATTTTGATGAATTATTGTGATATATGGCAATCGTTAACCCTGTGGACTTTGTGTAGAAAATAGGCCTAGGTGATGGTGAATTGCAATTGTCGCGGCTAGTTGCGATAAAAAGTCGCGACTAGTTGACCAGACATGACTAGTAACGCATTATTTATTTATCTATGTAATACTTCTGGTCAATGCAACAATAGAGCTAACAAATGGGTCTGCGCTTGTGTAATAAACGTTTGGGGCAAAAAACAACGTAACAAGCAGGTCAGGTTGCCTTGAACAGATGGTTCCATATTGATTAGGGGTACTTTGACATGATTGATTATTGTAATTACATATCGTGTAAAGTAAAGGCAGATTGTGATGAAACTTGGTTTGATAAATGAATATATTATGGAGTTGCTATTTCGAAGCAAACATCTTTCATTTCACATACATGCATACTTTCCAGTGAAATTCAGAAGCAATCCCAGTACTTTGAAATGTTACGTTACAATCAGAACAGGCCCTGCACATGAATAGTGTCTGCGTACTACAAAGTATTCTAGTGGACCAGCCAAAGTGGAATATTACACTTTGGAAGACTTTTTTTGGGTAATGGCAGGCAATAATGCCAAATTAATTTTGTCCCAAATACATACATGTACACACTGAGTATACAGTGTTTATACGTCGGTGAAGGGCAAAACCTAATTTGATTTACACCACCCCGACGCAAAACATTCCATCTTATGAATAGTTAATGCGGTACCCGCTGCTACTGTATGTACATCAGATTCGAACCAGCCAACCGATCCTGTTAGCTTGGTGGTCGAGAGGTAAGACATCTGCACTAGAAAGTAGGAGGTCATGGGTTCGAGTCCAACCCAAGTGATTTTTTTCAACTTTCACTCGGGAGGTAACACACTGAGTATACAGTGTTTATACGTCAATGAAGGGCAAAACCTAATTTGATTGACATCACCCCGACGCAAAACATTCCATCTTATGAATACCAAATATCCCTAATAATGCATAAATTGTTAATCCCAGCCGTGTATATTTATTCCCATATTGGGTATATTCTTATTTTTAAAATTTTTTTGAAAGGTTTATTTGAGTAATTCTGCTTACACACCCTTACTTAAATAATATTTTCTTAAGCATATAAGTGGCTGAATAATTATGGGGACATAGTAATGATCCAAAATGGCTACCATTATACCCCCAAAAAATTGCGCATTTACCTTGTCTCCAGATATCATCAAGTTGTCTTGCCAAACCTCAGTATTGATGAGCTTCAAATTCACCAAGTTGCTTACTGGCACAGTTTCCCTGTTTCAACTTTATGGAAAATCATGTGAACAATGATAATATGGTGATATTTAGCCCAGCAAACAATAACAGGAAAAATGAGCTGGCTGGCCCTAAACTGGGCTTCAATTGGGCGAAGGGTTGCCTAGTGTGGGAGAATTGAATAAGTTCAAGGGAATCCCCCCATAAAAAAAAACAAATACATGTAATTATGTCAATGTCAAAATGTTTTCTTTCCATAAATTTTCTCTCCAATAATTTTGGGAATTTCATTGAACCTTTTCAAGTCTGCCACGTTAGGCAACCCTTCACTTAGGCCAATTAACATATACCTCGTTCTTCCAGTTTTATGTTTGCTGGGCTGAATTTCACGACGTTATCATAATTACACAGGTGTGAGTGCTGACAGAAAATAGACTTTTGCCTCTGAAATTGGCATTCTTGTGTTGTCACTATTACTATTGAATTCTTTTTCTTTAAAACATCTTTACTGGGCCATTTTTTTACTTACTTGGATCACAGTTTTTCAGGTGTATGTAGAGAATTTCAATAGTCATGACTAATTTCAATTGTCACGACTAGTCACGACATTGGGACTGGTCACGGCATTGGGACTAGTCACGGCATTGGGACTAGTCACAGCATTGGGACTAGTCACGGCATTGGGACTAGTCACAGCATTGGGACTAGTCCCGGCATTGGGACTGGTCACGGCATTGGGACTGGTCACGGCATTGGGACTGGTCACGGCATTGGGACTGGTCACGGCATTGGGACTGGTCACGGCATTGGGACTAGTCACGGCATTGGGACTAGTCACGGCATTGGGACTAGTCACGGCATTGAGACGAGTCACAGCATTGGGACTAGTCACAGCATTGGGACTAGTCACGGCATTGGGACTAGTCACGGCATTGGGACTAGTCACAGCATTGGGACTAGTCACGGCATTGGGACTAGTCACGGCATTGGGACTAGTCACGGCATTGGGACTTGTCACGGCATTGGGACTAGTCACGGCATTGGGACTAGTCACGGCATTGGGACTAGTCACGGCATTGGGACTAGTCACGGCATTGGGACTAGTCACGGCATTGAGACGAGTCACGGCATTGGGACTAGTCACGGCATTGGGACTAGTCACGGCATTGAGACTAGTCACGGCATTGAGACGAGTCACGGCATTGGGACTAGTCACGGCATTGGGACTAGTCACGGCATTGAGACTAGTCACGGCATTGGGACTAGTCACGGCATTGGGACTAGTCACATTGAGACGAGTCACGGCATTGGGACTAGTCACGGCATTGGGACTAGTCACGGCATTGGGACTAGTCATGGCATTGGGACTAGTCACGGCATTGGGACTAGTCACGGCATTTGGGACTAGTCACGGCATTGGGACTATAGTCACTGCATTGGGACTAGTCACGGCATTGGGACTAGTCACGGCATTGGGACTAGTCACGGCATTGGGACTAGTCACGGCATTGGGACTAGTCACGGCATTGGGACTAGTCACGGCATTGGGACTAGTCACGGCATTGGGACTAGTCACAGCATTGGGACTATAGTCACGGCATTGGGACTAGTCACGGCATTGGGACTAGTCACGGCATTGGGACTAGTCACGGCATTGGGACTAGTCACGGCTTGGGACTAGTCACGGCATGGCGACTAGTCTACTATTTAGAAATTGATGCTCACGACTACAAATGCTTTTAAGTATTGGCGACAAGTCGACTAGTCGCACTAGTCACACAGGCCTAGTAGAAACCCCCTCAACTACAAAGAAAGAGTTAGGTGGCCTCTTGAATGCATTGTTCAAATGAAGAAAAAACAGGTTAAAAAAATTGCCATATTTGTGTTGGGAATTACATTGTAATTCCTACCTGTGTCACAAACTGCACTCACCTCACCACACACAAGGTTGCAAGCATACATTTACATGTTTTCCTGCCTTTTTAAAAATAAAACATACAAAAGTTTGCAGCCCTTTATATTTTTTATATATTCCTCAATTTACTATAATATCAGAGCAAAATTACCTCCATACTTCAGTTGACTTTCTCCAACTGTGTACATTTTTACCTCATGCTAATTTAGATAATTCTTTGTTAATGACTGAAAGGTAATATGGAGTTAAATAAATATAAATGAGCAAATGTTTTCTTAACTCCAATGAATATCCAGGACTATCAGCGGGCCCAGCATGAGCTGCAAGCACTGCGACAGCAGCGAGGGAGTCTGGAATCAGACCAGCGGAGCCGGGAACAGACTCTGAGTCAGCAGCAGACGCGTATCGCTGTGATGCAACAAGAGGTGCGGGATAAGGAGGCCTTGCTAGCTAAGAGCAATCAACTGATGGAATCGGCCAATGAACAGAAGGTAGCTCCTGGATTCTTTGTTTTTCCTCAATGTCGTAATGTTCTGTCATAATCAGACACTTCTGGATAAAACTTGAATTATGGTGATTCGACTAAAACAAATGTGGGGGTGATGTTTTTTCTTTCTGATTTTCGGATTTTGTACAAAGTCATGACCCTGTCTAAAAATACTGTAACCGTATCAGATGGTAATTGTACTTATAAAGGTGATCTTGTTTTGAGATTATTTGTAGAGGTGAATCAATTCAACAATTGCAAAACCCAAAACATTGACAAGCAATTTCCTTGTTACCCCCTGGCTTTAAAGCCAAGAAAGGGGGATCTTGCGATAGTGTATTCCTTCTGTGTGTCTGTGTGTATGTGTGTTCCATTTTGGTTAGGTTAAATGTTAATTGCTGTCATGTGAAAGTCAGACTTTAATTTCAACCAAACTTGGTGACAATATGGGTAGGGGGACTTAAGATGACTTGAGACATATGAGGTCAAAGGTCAAATGAGGTCATAGTTGATTTTGGTTAGGTCAACTGAAAAGTGTGCTTAATAACTGACTGTAAATACTGCCAGCATGTCAGGGGGATCGCGCAAGTTTAACTTGCAGTATTTTTGTCAGCCTTTGTGACATCACAAACATCAAATGGGCAGAATGCAGCCAAGGAAAGTCTGTTTTCAAACTTGAAGCATCCATGTAAAGGATTAAATCTATATTTAAACATAGCTTTTTCGACAGGCAGCCCAGAAGTGTATGCTTTTGACTGGCCATGTCACATATTTGATTACTTATATTTGGGTGCTTAGAACAGTTCTTAACTACAGCACTGGTCTTCTTTCTATAGGCCAAGCTTGAAGAGAGTATTCAGCACAAGAACAGTCTGGTGGGCAAGTTGGAGAGCACTGTCAAATCAACATCACAGGAGGTTATGAAGGTATCTGCAGTATACATGTACCATGACTTGATCAGTGTTCATTTCCATGTGTAATGTCAAACTATCAGTGGAAGAAATTGTACCACTTGTTCAACATGAATAGGACAAAAGTTCCAGTGAATGGGGATGCTGTAACAATGCCATTCCAGTACTACAAATAAAAGAAATATCAGATTTAAAGGTAGGGAACATCATTTGCAGCTATCCAAAATGTAACTGACAAAATTATTGTTGAAAAGCATACTTGGTTCAAAGATAGTAATGGCACTAAACTCTCTGTGAAATTATTCTTTCTGGCATGCTGCCATTTTGAAGAAAACAATAAAAGAAGGCCTTTTCCAAAAATGCGTCTTTTTAGTAATTTCCTTTAGGAGTTTGTTTTTAATTTGGGGAAGCCGTGAATGAGTGCGCGCAAGCACTGACACGACGCACACGCACTCACTGTTGCTGTTATACGTCATTTCAGTGCATGACATCGAGTAGCTGCAATCCACTAAATGAAAACGTGTCCCGGACGCTGCATGATTTCGGGCGCAAATCAAAACATGACTCGGTAACTTTCGAATTAAAATCGAGATCTTAAAATATTGTTTTTCTCGGAATAGACAGCTTTCACTGAGCTGAAACTTCATCAGAATAGTTGTTAAGCACCCTTCTTTAGATTTGAAACACTTTTTTGCTTTAAACGAAAAAAATGCACAAAAGACAAATGATGTACTCTACGTTTAATAAGCAAATGTTCATATTTATTACTTACAAACTAACATTTATGATTAACAAATTTAACTTTTCAATTTTGGTAACATGTAAACTGATGTCATTAAGCTTGAATTAACGTCTGTTTGTATCCACATAATGGCATTAGTTCAGCCTGATTAGTTGCATATTGAGGGTGTATGGATTGAACTCTGCCTTGGAGACGTGAGATTTCCATGGAAACAGTCAAGTGTTTTCCCAACATCCTCCAGACTGCAACCACCCATTTTGGGATGAGAGGAGGAGATAAATGTTCCATGGAATTTGCTGACGTACGAAGACTCTCTGCAATAAAACAAATATTACACATTTCAAAGTTCAAAAGTTTTGAGCATTCCATGTTTTTTTTTCTCTGTAGTGGAGTCATAAATAGACTTCAAATTGGTCTTGTTTTTATGAACGAAATTATGTCAAAGATTTATGAGAAATGACGCGAAGTAACCATCAATTTTGATCTTTTTTTGCCCACTACACCTACATATGAATAATTTTAACGTGTGGTCTTAAACACTGTATGCTCCAAAGTTTCTTGGAGTATGCAGGAAAAATAGCCATACTCAGTGGCACTCGATTTCTCAATTCCTGTTCAATATAACATTGTCCTGACCACTGAGCTTTGCTGGATAGCCAACCAGTACATTATTGGCAAAAGTGACATCATCATAGTAAAATTTTCTATTTTTAGGTGTACAAGTCCTGTTGAAATAGTTACTTGAAAGACTGTGTCTTGTGGATTTTTCAGGGAAATGAGATCATTAAGAAGTTGCAAGGGGAACTCAAGGCCTCGCTAGCAAAGGTGAGTTCAAATAATGAGAAAAAACACCCTTCAACGACCCTTTGAGCTTTTTATTTGTGCAACTTTTTGAATATTTGTAATAAATGATGTGGATTGAAAAGTGCTTTAATGTAAAAAAAAAAACCCAGAAAAGTGATGAATTCTGACAAGTCAGAGCGAGTTAAGAAAACTTCAAATAGGTTAAAACAAGTTAAGCTGCCTTCAGACTGTAAAACCAAGTTGAAATGATTTAATACATGATGAGAAAAACCTGACCGATTGGATGAATGGTCTACTTAATACACATTGTGACAAAAGAGACTGTATTACAGTGTGTTTCAAATTGGCGGTTATACCTTGTTTGAAAACTATCACCACCAATGACATATGGTTATCTAACTTATCTTGACATCTCATGATATCTCAACAAGATCTTGATGCCACATTTTTCCTAAATTCTGACAGCATAAGTCTACTCTTTTCGTAATAACCCAATTGCAATTTCAGGTAAGTGTACATTTGCAAAATATTTTTGGCTAGTGGTTGGATGTTGAATTGATCCACTGTAAATATGCAAAATCATTAAACGTACTAACAAAATTAGAGACACAAGTACATTTTTGCTGGAGCTGAGGACCAGCCCATGTCCTCTGAATGACTGAGAGTCACCGACTGATTGACTGTCTGACTGACTCACTCATCATCATTAGCCTAATTCAATCCACTGCTGGATGAAGGCCTCTCCACTAACTTTCCATGCTTTTCGATCCCTTGCCAGTTGTTTCCATTTCTTCCCTATGAAATCAGAGATTTCATCTCGCCATCTCTTAGGCTGTCTTCCTCTTCGCCTCTTCAATGATAATGGCGTCCAATCCGTTACTTTCAGGGTCCATCTGTGGTTGTCTCTTCTCATGACATGTCCTGCCCAACTCCACTTTTTCTTTTTGATCTCAACTATTATGTCTTGCACCCCTGTCTTTCTTCTAAGATCTTCGTTCCTTATTCTGTCTCTCTTTGTGACCCCAACCATTATTCTTTCCATTGCCCGTACGGTGACTCGCAATTTTTGCTCTGATTTCTTTGAAGGTGCCCAAGTCTCAGCGCCATATGTTAAAACTGGAATGATGCACTGGTCGAAGAGTTGACGCTTCATCTTTTGCAGTATTTTTCTGTCCTTGAATATGTAACTCAACTTGCCAAATTTTGCCCATGCAAGTTGTATTCTCCTCTGAATCTCCTCTGAATTCCCAACCTTAAATGTAATCTTCTGTCCCAAATATATGTACTCATCTACTGTGTCCAGTGTTTCATTCCCCACTTTAAATTGTGTTATGCCTGTGTTGGAATTGGACATCACTTTCGTCTTCTTCATATTCATCTTAAGGCCAACTTTTCTACTTGCCGCATCGAGCTCTTGCATCATACCATTCAGTTCCTCTGGGTCGTGACTCAATAAAAGGATGTCGTCCGCAAACCTCAGATGGGTAAGTTGTTCTCCATCAACACGGACACCCTTGTTCTCCCAGTCCAAGCTTCTGAAGGCTTCCTCTAGTGTTGAAGTGAAAAGTCTAGGTGAGATCGGATCTCCCTGACGAACTCCTTTGGTGATGGAGGAGCCGATGTAGACTTTTGCCGAAGGATCTCTGTAGATCAACTTCACTATGTTTAAGTACTTGGCCTCGACGCTGAATTTCTTCAGTGTTTGTAGCATAGATTCCTGATCCAGACTGTCAAACGCTTTTTCGTAATCGATGAATCCAAGGTGCAGGCTGAATTGGTATTCTCTTGCTTTCTCTATTAGTTGATTTAATGTGTGAAGATGGTCCGCAGTTCCGTAACCAGCTCGAAATCCTGCCTGCTCTCTTGGTTGGTTTTCCTCCAAGATTCGCTCTATTCTGGCACCTATAATTCTGCTGAAGAGCTTGTAGAGGTGGGGGAGCAGACTTATTGGTCGGTAGTTTTTCACATTCTGTTTGTCTCCTCTTTTGAATAGAAGTATGATTTTTGCACAATTCCACTGCGTAGGAAGTTCTTCCTTTTCCATTATTTCGTTGAAGACTGTTGTTATTTTCTCCAAAAGTTCATTTCCACCAACTTGTAGAATGTCAGAAGTAAGCTGGTCCTCTCCTGGGGCTTTGCTTTTCTTCATATTTTTTAGTGTTTGTTCTACTTCTTCTTTCATAATCGGTGGGACATCAGTAGCCTTCTCGTCCCAGTCTACAGTTGTTCTCCAGTCTGGATTTGGGTTATCATACAGATGAGTGTAGAATTCCTCCACACGCTTGTTTATTTTTGTTCTGTCTGATGTAACAGTTCCATCTTGTAATTTTATAGCCGACATAAGATCCTTTCCTTTTTGTAGCTTTCTATCAACCACTTTTGGTCCTCTATTTCTCTCCAGTGCCTCTTTTACAACCTTTGTTTTGTACTTTCTGCTTAGCGACCGTCGCTTCTTTCTTATGGTCTTGTTGAGCTCTGTGTATTCTACCTGGTTTCTGATAGATTCTCTTCTTTGGGGTTTCAGTAGTTTCCTTTTGTCATTGAGACTTTTGATTTCATCTTTCTCAGCTACAAACTCCTCTTTTCTCTTTTTTTCGTCCTTTGCAACTTTCTCTGCACTCTCCATTACAACATCTGTGAGTTGCTTATATTTCCCTTCCATCGAGAGATCTTCCCACGTATCGTCCAGGACACTGAATCGGTTATTCAGTTCTATCTGAAATTCCTTTTCTTGTGAAACCAGTTTTCTGATATCTATGTTTCTTCGTCTCGGGGGTCTAATTCTCTTCATCCTTTCAATCTTCTTGTCAAAGCGAACTTTCGCTCGGACCATCCTATGATCGCTTCCCATATCAACACTAGGAACTGTTGCCACATCCATGAGAATATCCTTGCGATTGCATAGAATGAAGTCGATGGTATTGTGCGTTTCTGCATTCGGGCTTTCCCAAGTCCAGTAACGATTTTCCTTTTTCTGGAAAAAGGTATTTCCAATCACAAGACTCCTTGACAAAGTAAAGTTTATTAATCGGTCTCCCCTTTCATTCCTGTCCCCTATTCCAAATGAACCCATAGATGTTTCTTGTTCATCCATACGTCTTCCCACCTTTGCGTTGAAGTCACCAATAACTAGGATGTATGTAGTATTGTCCGTGTCCAGAAGCTTGTTGAGATTCTCATAGAAAACCTCAGCTTCCTCGTCTGTGTGGCTCGAGGTTGGTGCATATGCTTGTATGACCTTAAGACAGTGCTGTTGGTTGATTTGGAGCTTGACCATGGCTAGTCTGTCTCCAAGACACTTGTATTCTATCACGTTTTGTTCAATGTTCTTGTTAATCAGAAAACCTACACCATAACGACTCTTCTGTGATTCGGATGTATAAAGCATGTGTCCACTTTCTACCAATTTGACCAGATTCTGTTGTCTTCTTGTTTCTGCTAGTCCAATAATATGCCATTTGATCCTGGCGATTTCTTCTGTCAATGAGTCCAGACTCTCATCTGTCCTTAAAGTTCTTACATTGTACGTACAAACATAAATCTCTCTTTGGCTGCAGATGTTTCCCTTATCAGACCTGGACTTTCCTTTCGGCTTTGGGTTCAGATCGTCATATACTGGTTGTGAACCAAAGGGTCCATCTGCTGCCGATGTCCTAACTCTCTGTCCTGTAGAGTAGGGCCCATTATGGCCACGGGCTATTTGGCCTCCATCATTTTGACTGTTCATGTTAGTAGAGGTATTTGCCATACTCCACCGCGCTGGCAAGACGTGTTGGTGGAGGCTTCTTGTAGCATGCAGTTGTTTCCATACTAGGGCGAAGCTTCCCCTCTGTAGCAGGTTGTCTAGGTTGTACATACAGTCTACAGGTTTACCGTAGCAGGTGCATGATTATAATTTCACCTGACCTGACCCCATACTATTTAACCCATAGCTGGGTCGAAGAATAAGATAAAATTAGGAATAGTCAAAACACCAAGTCAGTTCCCAAACCTCAGTATGGGGATACGCCTTTCCCGCCAGCAGGAGATCTGTGTGTATGTACCCCTGCTGGCATCGGTGATGTCTTGACCTTTCCAGGGGTCAGGCGCCTCTAACCCTACCTAATCTAAGATAAAACTAGACTTAACTGACAAGGCATTTCTAGAAAAGGAATAGGAGAAGATGGGGCTGGGGGTGAGAACAAGAATTGAAAGAGTGGACAGAAAAGACAGCTGAGGAAGTAGAGGGTGCTTAATCCCTCACTCTGATATAGATCAGCCTCTCACTGAATATGACCAAATGTCCTTAGTTGAGGTTTCAGGTGCAGCTTGACTAGGCAAACCTGCTCTTGTTCCTTTTCTTTGTGCACATTTTTCTGCCATTATCATCCTCCTAGAGTGCAAGATATTGAATTTAGCATGAATGGTAGACATTTGGGCGATTCACAATGCAGTGCGCCACCAAGAGTTTGCTATGGAGAGTCCATTTATCAAGTTTACGGTTGACAAAACATTGCCCATTTGAACAAGTGTCAGTAAACAACTTGAGCTAATTTGTTATAGATTGTGGCATAGCGTTCTGCCGCTTCAAAAAACACCATATTGATAAAAACAAAAGAAAAGGGCAAACAGATACTCGAATCATACACTTACGAAACTACTGACCGGACAAACTAAAAAATTTCAAAAATCCCGCGCTGTGAATTTGTCGACCATCTCCCACAATGCACTGGGAAAACTTAACTCTCCGTGGCAAACTCTTGGTGGCGCACTGCATTGTGAATCACCCAAATTCTAAATTGGCTTATTATTCAACCGAGTTCCAAAGTTCAAATAAAAAAAAAATTCTGGAAATACCCGAACCATTGCCTCAAGTAAAGATATCGATTCATCTATTTTTTTTTCTCCAAACAGCTGAAGCTGAAGAACACTGTAACTGGCAAACAGGAGAAGTTATTGGAGGAGCGTAACCAGACATTGAGGGCGCTACAACAAGATGCAGACGGGCTGAAAACAAAAAGCCAACAACTAGAAAATGAGGTACTAGATGCAGTGACCAGACATTTTTTCATGGGGCAGTTGAGTCACTCGGTTCAAATCCAGATATGAGCCCCTTTTCACTACTTTTGAGTTTAAGTCCAAGTAGCAATTACTTTTTTTGGAGTGTGAGTCGAGAGTCGCTTTATCTTGAGCCACAAGTCATTTTGTTGGAGTCCTAGTCACAAGTCCTTCTCATGAGACATTTCTGTGAATAATGAGTCTCGTTAGGGCTCAGTCATGATATGAGTCACTCAACATATTATTGAAAAGAAAAAGATATGTACAGTGCAAATTTCCATTCATTCAGATGATAAGGGAACAATTGCAAAGACATAAAGCCAAATTTGCACTCAATGCTTCAAACTATTGGCTTTAAAAAAAAAAAGTTTACTATTTAAAATTTCAACAACAGAGGGCTCACTAGTGCCTGGAGTATTAAGATAAATGAGAAACATGCGAAAAGAGACTCCACAAATCAGCCACTAGCAAGGTTACGCACAGGGCAAGAACCAAGGTGCATCAGTGTGGCCAGATGAGGCAGGTACTCGTGTTATCACGGTAGCCAGAGTAGTATTGCGAGGTTCCGTCGATTCCCAGGTTCTACCGATTCCATTATGAGAACCGGAACAGCGAGTCCAATCTTTTCGAGAATCGGGTACCCGCTATAGCGCGCTATCCTCGGTTCCAGCTCCAAAAGAATCGGTTCTAGATTAAATTACCCATTCTCTGTGCACAGAGTCGAGAATCGGCTCCATAGGAATTCAACCGCTATTGCTGTGAAGGCCCGGGTCCCAAGGGGAATTTTACTCTGGCTAGTCAAAACAATGGCGGGGAAACCACAGAGACTCACACATGATATACAGAGAGTCAGAGACAAACCGATCAGCTGAGCTATTTGTGGCCACAAGGCATAGAGTATTGAACCCAATACTGGCCCTGTACCATGGATAATAAGCGTTTTGAATGACATAATTACTCATGGGGCCTGGCCAGGCCGATCTGGGCTACTTGGAACCCGCTCCGAGTGCTGGAATCAGCTCTGATGGACCCGGTTCTGAGTCTGGAAACGGCTCTGACGGACCCGGGTATATGACTTGCTCAGAGCCGAGTATTTTGTACCTGTACCCGGGTCCGTCAGAGCCGATTCCAGCACTCAGAGCCGGTTCCAAGTATGCCCGGCACAGTTACAGTAGAGATTGAGTTTTGAGTACATATGCAGCACAGTGAATCCTTCTATACACGGTCGGAGGTCGTCGCGGTGAATAAAATCATAGGCAAGAAACGGAAAATAAAGCAATAAATGCTATGTTTGCTTTTAATAATACAATCTCCATAGTTTCACAGGAGAAAGACACACATTTGAAACAAATACGTAGTGGAATAGCATGTATTGCTCGTCCAAATCCCGGAGGATGGGGTGCACAAGGTGACACTGTTTACTTTACATGTACATTCAAGGGCTTGTTTTTCTTTGAATTTTCCGGGAGCTGGTCCTGACTCAGATCTTTTTAGCGAAGCGGAACCGGCTCCAAAAATTCTGGAACCGCCCAACACTAGGCCAGAGTAGCCAATTTGACTAAATTGTTTGCACGGCTGTAATTGGAAAACTCATCAGCACTTTTGATTCAACGTCTAAACTGAGATAAACTTGAGTCTGAGTTCTTACAATACTCCTGTTGTTTTGATGCATTTACAGAATGACAGAATGAAAGAGACGCTGGAGAGTACAAGGACAAAACTGGAGGAAAGCCGACAACTGCTGAAAACTAATGAAAATGGTAGGGCTTTGTGTTGCAATCCCATCCATTCATGCTACTGGTCTGACAAACTGCCAGAAATGGAAGTGACAGAAAAAGTTTAGACCTGAAATTTTGGAGCAAGGTTTCTGTCTAGATCATGGAAATTGCTCAAGCAGGGGGCATAGCAGTGAGTTGCCAGTAGCCTTGAATGCATGGCTGCGCTGTGTCAGCACCGTGAGATTATCGCTGGCCACACGTAGTATTACCCGCTCTGCAATATTGCGGTATATACCCGATCTGTCACACGCACACATCCCGCAGTTCATATTGTATGTACACGCAAACTTGTGTTCACCGTCGATCGTGTACGTCCTATTGTCCCTCTTTTGTTTGTACTCTAACTTTTTAGGAAGACTCCCATAGGTTTTGTACACGACCCCAATCGCGGATGTATGCTGGGAATCGTGGACGATATTGTCCTCTTTTGTTCTCCGGTATTTTTCGTCCACGGTTTGAAAAGATGAACACGTACGTGTGTACACACTGTATTGTAGGTGCACACGCACTGCCCGTACATGAGAGTCCAGCCCGTGCTCTGTAGGAGCACAGCATTGATTATTCTGTCACTTCCGGGTTTTATGTTTTTCTTTACTTTGCATCGCGAATCTCAGGCAAATGGGGGGGGGGGGGGGGGGGGGGGGTGAGAGGATATGGAAATTATCCAGTATGAATAATGTATACTTCTCATCGGCCAATCACATTATAGATCAATGATTGTTGGTTTGGTACCGCAACACCGGCGGGACCGCATAGCGACCCACAGCATGTTTTTAAACAGCATGGTGCGTCCAGTCAAGGGCCAATCAGATCCGTTTGATTGTAAGCAACTCTTTATGGTTAACCGCAAACCCTGGAAGTTACAGTTGAATCAAGGTTGTGGTCCTGACGGACCACGGGCAGGAGTTTACATGTACAAATGTACTGTGTGCAAGCACTTTGTGCCAGGCTTCGTAGTACGATGTGACGGATCAGGGTTCACCGTGTGTGTGGACCTGTGAGCCCGGTGTAATATGGCCATCAATGCCTGCACGCTGATCACACACACAGACTTGTATTCAAGGCTAAGTTGCCAGCTTTCTTTAAAATAGTTGTGTAACATTACCTTTTGGTCATGAAACCATTAATTTCCCAAAGCATGCAAGACATTGTGGCATATTTTTGTTATTGTTTTGTTGTTTGTTTTTTGTAGTCATCAACTGGTTGAATAAACAGGTGAACGAAGCCCAGATGAGTAAGCGACATGGCATGTTTGAGGTTCCTACATCCACTGTGGCTTACAGACCCCAAGGGGTAAGTTGATAGGGCAGTATGATTGTAAAAGGATATTACTGTTTGGTTGGAAGGACAGAAGGTTGAAAAATTTTGAGTTGCAACGTAGCTTAGGCAGAATTGTAGTGGAGTTAATCACGAGTCAATCAAAATGATCGGTGGACTTGCGCTATTACGTGATCAAACAGAAATATGTTAGTGCAATCGACTGATCCCGTTGGAAATCTCAGACTCTATTTCCCTGATTAAAGACAATCTCCTTGATGAGCCATAAATTTGAAAGAAAAGGTGATGGACTGATGGCAGCGCGATCGACTGATTGCGCAGGGCGATCAAGTGATAGTGCGGCGCCACCTATCTCACCCAACAGAGAAACTTTGACATAGGAATGGCCATGTCACAGTTCATTGTAGCTTGTAGAGGTATAGATAGATGTATTTCACTTCCATTTGCTCTTACTAGCCCAGGAGCTAATTTTAATGAAACTGGTAAGCACAACAATTTGCTAGGCACAAAACTGCTTGCGTTTAGCAAAAGGTGACTTTGAGGTCACTAACCAAATGTCATGCGGTGTATACTGCTGGTGAGTGGTTCTCGGCTAATTTTGTAAAAATGTGCTTACCAGTAGTTTCTGCCAAACAGATTCATGCAATTGGGCCCTAGTCTACAAACTTAGGTTTAATAGTGTTTGAGGACCTGTTCTTCCATAAACATTTGGCCAAGACAAACATCCTTTTTTTTTGGCTTCTAAATTATACACCTTCATATTGAGCATCTGTGGCTGAAAATTCCACTAACAAATGACAAGTACAATGTATACTGAACAATTTTGTGTAGACCCCACTCTGTTTGTTGTAGACCCCACTCTGTTTACTTGTCTCCTCTTGACCAATTTGGTAGTCGAGGCGTAAACCAAGCCATCATGTTTGGTGTTTTCTTTGTCCAGGTTCCTGCAGCAGTGTCCTCCAGCCGTCCATGGCCCATGTCTAGCACCCATCTCACCAACACCATGAGCACCATACCCCAGTCCACACCCATGGGCTATAACTCTTCTACGGCTAGTGCACCCAGCACCTCCAAACGCAGGTAGGTCATAAATCGACCATTCCATTAACCCTAACCATCCCCATCCAGTCAAACTCCAACATCAGGGTTTGTTGGAATCTGTTAGGATGAGAACTGCATTAATAAACTGATAATGCTTTACATGGGGTTAGGCATACCATACAAAAACAGAGTCCAACTGTTTATGGGTGCGTTTGAGTAGCTCGACTGGATCAACTCGGGTTAGCCCTGTGCCGTTCGATTAGCTCTGACGTCATTCTCGAGGCTCACCCGGGTCAGCCACCACCAACCCTGCTCATGGAACAGAGTCAGTGGTGGAAATACGTCACACACATGCATTGTTTATTCTAAGAAACGGACAAATGTGGCGGGCGGACAGCAGAAATCTGAAGTGGACCCAAAAATGAACTTATTGAAGTATAAAGCTAATTATTTATCAACTTCATGTGACTTTAGAGGCTGTAATTCCAGCCCAACTTTGTTATATTTTTTTCAATTGACGGACAAGCAGTAAATCTCATCTAAGACCCAGTGCAAGCCGGGCGTTTTGTCAGTGCATTGGCTGCGGCCGCGGCTATGGACATCACATGAGAAAGCTCTTTTGCTGCTGACGTCACCATGAGGAAAGGGTGTTGTTACATGGGTGGGGGCACAAGAACAGGTAGTTCTGCACCAAGTCTCCATAAAAACTGAAATACAAAAATACTCCAAAATACTTCAATTTTAAGTGTTCATCATTGTTTCGGAGCCACTTATAGATTTTCCCCTTTCATGTCTTTCTCTAACCCTTTGAAAAAATTTTCCAACTGAATTGTTTTTTAAAAATATTTTTGGTTATATTTAGGTAGGTCAATATCAACTTGGTACTTAAGTTCAATACACTGTCTTTAATTGCAGTGAACCAGCACTGGACCCCAAGTACTTACAGCATCCCAGCCAGCACCACAGCCAACACCCTGGCCAACACCCCAGCCAACACCCTGGTCAACACCCTGGTCAATACCCCACCGCATCTCCCAGGGATGGAGGGCCACTCCAGAAATCAGGACCTGTACCGCTTCAGTTGAGCAGCACCCCTATGGCTCCCACCGCCCCGGCACCATCCGTACCCCCACTGATGAGTGCCTATTTTCCTCCACAGCTCAAAGGGACCACCTGAAGACTAAACCAGGGCCCAATTTCATGGCGCTGCTAACCACAGAATTCTTTGCTTACGACACATTCTGTGCTTACGACACATTCTGTGCTAACGACACATTCTGTGCTTACGACACATTCTGTGCTTACGACACATTCTGTGCTAACAGCACTAACAAAAAATTCTGTGCTAACACTAAGCACAGAATCCTGAGTTACTGGAAGTACGCATACATGTGCATCCGCCAAAATTTCTTGCTAACCCGTGAAATAGGCTTACCGTAAGCACATAATATTCTGCTACAGTAACTAAGCAGAACCATGAAATTGAGCCCTGGTTTGGAATATTGGTCATGTGTTTGGCACACGTACAAAGATTGTACATGCCATTGGGTTACTGCATTGCGTTGGATGTTGGAACGTTTCTAGCACAAAATGATAAGTGAGTTTTGATATATTGACCCATAGAGGTTAATGACATAAGACCTACATTGAACTCTAACATTGCCCAAAACTGATGAAATCATCTCCATATCTGTAGAGACTACTAGAGAGACAGACAAATGAATTAGTCCTAACAGTGTCTAAAACACTCGGATATAGAGTCAGAGAACAGCCAGCATGGAATTGTCCGTGCAACCTCGGGCTCAACTTTATTGTAAATATTTACAGACACATAGAACTGCGTACTTAAGAACTAGGCCAATCAGACTAAAAGGAACACAGAACAGGTCCAGTCACCAGTCTACAATCAAGTTGGTGCACTGAAATCTTGTGAATTGTGTGTCCATCAGTTCACTTACAACCTAATAACGCTAAGGAATACATGATGACAGATATTTCATATACATGGATTTTTCATATACATGTATGTTATACATGAGATAAACAATCACTTATTTGTTTGACTGAAACATTACATCACGATGTAGTTTTCCAATTGGATTGGATGCACTGAATATTAGATGTATTTAACATTTCAGCAAATAAGTTTCATAATATAAGATAATAATTGTATTATACCTACTTAATGAACTAATGAAGTTGTACTTGTCTTTTTTTCCTGAAACTAAATTAAAGGTAAAAAAAAAACCCCAAATTTTGATTTGAATTTTGTGACATACATAAAACCGCTTTTGTGTCTGTGATATTTCAGGTAACATACTTATTGACTGTAAAATATTTTACACTGGACACAACTTTGTAATCGTAAGCTTTTGTATGTTCTGATCGTAGGTTTTGACATTGTGCATACTGTACATTTGCATGAATAGCTTGATTTGTTAAAGCTATAGTCCATCATTTGCAGCTATCTGAAAAGTAACTGGCGTAATTATTGTTGAAAAACATACTTGGTTGAAAGATAGTAAGGGGACTAAACTCCCTGTGAAATTATTCATTCTGGCAAGCTGTCATTTTGAAGTAATCAACGAAAGAAGGCCTTTCCGTAGGAAAATTGAAATTAATAGTTTGTTTTGTTATTTGGCGCAGCGCGCGCAAGCATTGGCATGACGTACAGGCGCGCGCGGTTGCTATAATTCGTCGGATCAGTGCGCGACATCACGTATAGCTAAAATTCAAAACGAATTCAAAACATGATTCAGCAACTTTTGATTTGAAATTGAGATCCTAAAATGCTGTTTTTCTGGGAATGTACAGCTGAAGCTGAGCTGAAACTTCATCAGGTTAGTTGTTCAGTATCCTTCATTAGATTTTGAACACTTTTGTTGCTTCAAAATGAACAAAATGCACAAATTACAAATGATGGACTATATCTTTAAGAAACCTTGAGTTGTTTTGTAGATAAGGACAATTATCCAAAATTTGCGCTTTAATGACAGCAGAGATGTGCGTTGCGCACTTTATTTTTACAGCATGAGGTGCACTTGATTTCAAGACCAAGCACTAACATGGAGTAATAAAAGTATTGAAGTGAAGATAATTTAATATTTTTTGGCCAAATAATTGTTTTATTTGTGTAAGCATGGACCACTGCACTAATCCCAGTTTCTCCCACTCAGTGTAAACATATGCCTACTTCAGATGTCAAATTACAGGGCTAGTGATAGCACTTTAAAACAGTTTTAGCATGAAATCCATGCATAAGTACCCCCCCCCCCCACCAGTGGTGACAAGGCAGAGTTGAGTTGACATCATAGACTCCGTTGCACAGGTACCCCCTCGGTGCTTACTAAGAGAGACTTGGGGGGAGATCACTGTGCCTCAACTTGCGCAAAGATGTTACAGATTGGAGCACATTCAGATTAATTGCAACATTACACATGTAGCGTGCGGCATGGCACTTATATACATGTATGTGTAAACAGTTTGTGCATCCTCGACCCCAATATGTGTGTATTTCAACTAGACCAGCACCATCGCAAGCTCTGGGCGTTCGTGGTGGTGGGAGGGGGGGGGGGGATAGCACCAACTAGGGGCCACACTACAATTAAAAACACATCCAATACATTTGCATGGATTTTGCTGATTGGGGTGCCACTTGCTTGGCCAATTGTCCCCCCCCCCCCCTCCCCCCCGTTGACTGGCCTGGACTAGACACGGCAAACCCAGCATATGATAATAAACAAGCCGCACCATGCTATATTGGGGGCACTGACAGACAAAACATGACTGTCTCGTGACTTTACTTTGCATGCATACTTTGCGAGTATGTACAATCTAGTACGCACATGCGGTGTGTCGCCCCAGTACTGGGGTCCGGATAATGGTCACAACGCGCCATCTAATGTTCATGCAGAGAGTCCATACGCCTTGCACCAATTAAAGATGCTGCTGGTTTAATCACAGTTATATGAAACCTAGTCATGAATGTGAACGCACATACTTGTTCTGTAGTTGTGGGGACAAACACTCATCTGTATGAGGTATCTGTGAGGACCGAAAATGCGGTGGGGACAGTAGAAAGTCCCCCCAACTCTGTCCTACTTTGCCTAACAATAAAAAACTTCCCCATAATGCGGTGTAGGCCTGCACATTGGACCATACTCACAAACAAACCCACCCATTTGTTTATGGTGTAAATCAAGGATTTTCTATTGTTCCTCTTTTCTTCCCCTTTGTTTATACTTTTTGCAACAGCTCTCATTGGTTTTGTACACGTTTTCCAACCGAGGAGTCCTCGATTCATCAATGATGTTGCACGTGTGTGTCCTCGATTTACACAAAAAACAAACGCCTGGGTGTGCATGACGCGTGTCCCATGATACACCAAGCTCTTGTGAGTACATGCACTTCGTACACAGAGTGAATACATGTAGATAGAAAGGAGTGGAGCATATATGACTTTACGTTAGTTATAGTGGTGAGAAAATACGCAATAAGCAATGAAACAAGGACAAAGCTTCTCACCCTGTAAAAAATCTCTTTTTTTTAATAGAATTTTTCACAAACATCTCACTTGGATTCATTTATAGGCACAAATGCCATTCTTTTCTGTGGAACAAGAAAAAGAGACATAAATATTATAAACTCTTACCATAGAAAAATCCTTTCCTTCTTTATGTACAGTTGCTATACAAAACGTGCTGCTCCAAAAACACAGCTTCAATCTTCACAAGAAATTTACAGGGTTTTGTTTTGTACATTACAACATTATAAAGCCAATACAACAGCAGTTAAGAATATACAATTTTTTTTAAAGTTTAATATTTAAAGATATACAGAAATGTTGTGGATAATACTTTATACCTCTACACAGAGCATATATAAATTATCTAGGTTTACTAACAATCAGGCAAATAAACAAAAACAACGAATTGCAACTCCTCCCTTGACAATAACATAAAAAAAAGGACATTCCAAACTCTTTCATGGAGAAAATTAGGCAAAAAAATAATATAATTAAAACAGAAAACCACTCACAACTTAAATTTCTACTCACACTGAAAAATCGTTCCCTTCCAGTTTGGTAACAAATGTGACTACTCTGCTTAGGGTCTGGTTCATTGCTCTGGCAAGTGCGCATTTGCGATTTTTGAAATGAAATTAGCTCCGATAACTGGTATTTCAATTCTTGAAGGTATGGATGATTTGGAATTGTTTGGCAGCCGTAGCATGACCAAAACAAATCCCAACACTGCATTATAAATGCACAAACTCACTTCAACAGAAAAAAAAACATTCATAAAATCAAAAATAACAATCTTAATTCCAATTTCAGTTTTGATTGGGCTTGATACCCACGAAAAAGTAGTGTTTTTTTTTTTTTTTTTAATTCCAAATAGTTACACTGGACAATGGATTTTTTTTTTTTACAAATATCTTCAAATGTTCAACATAAATGTTGACCACGACTGGACGTTTGGCTTAACAAGAATGTGACTTTCTTCATTAAATCCTTCATCTTTCAGTTAAACACAAAACTGTCTTAGGCTGACAGTACTTACCAAAAGAAATTCAGCACTACGATTGGTCACTTGACAGCATGGGCGTCACCAGGATTTTTTCTAGAGGGGGGCAAAAATGCTTGCATTTCTCAACATATTCTTGATTTATCAGTTTTAGAGGGGGGCAGGGACATTTTGCCCCCCCCCCCCCAAACTCATTAAATTTACACCACTTTGTCTTCGCGCCTCTTTTTCTTTTCTTCTTTCTCTTTTTCTTCTTCTTCTTTTTTTTTTTGGTTGCTTTTCCAGGGGGGGGGGGGGCAAGTGCCCCCCCTTGCCCCCTCCTCGCTACGCCCATGCTTGACAGTCATTTGCAAACTAACCTCATAATATGGGGAAGTAAATAGTCAATTGTGAAATGTTTTAAAACTGCATTAAAGACTTGAACAGTTCCGAGTATTTAAGAAGCCTTAAATGCGAACAATCTTCAGAGACTAGTGGTTGGAACAATTCCATGTAAGAAAAGTTGATAATAAGCTTAATAAATGCACTCAAAATCCTTCAAAAAAATGGAACTTCAAAATCCAAACACTCCCAACTTGTTAAAATTAATGCTGTTTACATTAAAACTCACCATGTGTTGGGCGCCAACTAATTTGGTTATTCCAGTATACTGACTGGAGAATTTTTTTTAGACTGATATACATTCTAGATAAACTTTTGTTGCAATGTTTCTGATTTTTCTAAAAGTTGAACGAGAATGCTTTGTGTTCCTCTCAACTTCAGATTTGTGTGAGACAACTGTAACTGTCATCGGAAATATGGAAATTAACAAGGAAGTTCAATTTGTTTAAATAACAGCAGGAAATATAAACAACATGTAGCAAGTTTGGATGATTTGCAGCTGCAGTATTAAATTGTTCTGTACCATACAAGTTCATTCCTTTCTACGGTTATACGTTCAAAATAATCTGATATGAAACAGTTTACAAGCTTAAAATGTATTCAGACATTACAGGCATTTGACCTTTATGGGGCTGTGCATTTTAAAATTTGCATGACAAGATAAGTCACATGTCCACCTAATGTGCTGGCAAATAGCCTATCAGCCATCTTGGTCTTGTCTTAACTAGAATATACAATGCACAGTGCTCTAACATTACCAGGATGGACCTTAAAGATGTCTTGTCTGTGCGCTTTCCAAGTTCCCCCCGACCAACCATCAGTTATGGAATTACTAAGCTGGTTCCCAACCCCTATCATAGCATCAATAATGCAGAGACCGGGAACCAGCCTAGTGCAGGGCAGATTTATTTTTGTTTATTAAAATTAACAAACAAGCAAATTAAGAATTCATAAGGAGAAAAAAAAACATGATTTGAGCCAAGGTGTTCTTTAAATCACAAAGTGGACCTTTTAAAATGCAAGCACGGAGTGCAAAGCTTTTACAGCGTGGGGTGCTGGGCCCCGAAAAAGTTTGGATTCTAGATGCTCTGAGGCTTTTCCTGGACACTTTCTTCTACCTTTTTAGGGGAGGGGGGGGGTTCAAAAGTTGATATTTTTGTTGGGCAATTTTTTTTAATTTTTAAAAAAAAATTTCTGAGTGGAACTCATCACCGAGAAGGGGGGTTCGTTTGAAATCCCGCCCCCCTAGCGTATGGGCCCGCTGCATGCTTACGGGCACAGACAAAACATCTTTAAAATTATATGGTACAGCACAAAGAGGAATCTGCAGAATGATACACATCTACTGATCATGCACTTCAATAATAGACTAGTGAATATAGAACATTGCAATATGTTCAAGTGAATATAGAGTGTTAAGCTATACATTGTGTGTACCAATATGTATAGCAAATATACATGATAAGGGTTGCCTATATGTAATATGACTATCATTACGATTCCACATGAAATTGCTGTTAAAATCATGCATATACATACTGTATAATGCTTTCTATGGAATTCTATAGCTTGAATGGCAAAAACGCTAAAACTACAATATATTTACTGTGGCTAAAACTATGGCATCTACAGAACAATTAATGTGGTGCAACAACAGTTTAAAAACATTCTGTTTACATTATGATGTCATTACTGAAGACATGTGCGTGGATATGAATACGACTTGATTAAGATACGAATGGCTGTATATGTTGTACTCTGTATATAAAATGCTGTACATTTGTTAACTACGCAATCTTGCTGTTTTGAACAATTTGAAACTTTGCTGTCCGATACGAGCACTGTATAAATTTAGCTTCTATTCATTTTTTGAAAGTGGGAACAAAATTGTGAACACTTTTAAAACTGGGTTAGTTTCAGCATAAATGTTGTTATTTAGTTAAAACCCTGTGTTTTATTCTTATAACACAACCACTCATGTTAGTTTGTCCTTTACTTGTGAGACATCATTACACAGACTGCATGCTGCTCTTATCAGCTTCAAGTAACACAGTGAGCTCACATGATGGGGGTTCGAATCCTGCTAGAGTCTCCCAAGAACTTAATTGTAGCAAAGCTATAGTAGGTGGTTCTTACAGTAGGAGTTTTTACAAGGCATTTGAAGTCACACATTAAAATAGGATGATTGGACAATAGCAGAGAGGCAAATCCATTACGTGACGTTACTGCTAAGGTAGCAAAACACTATGTACAGTGCAGCAGACAAGTATCATAAAAAGAGAAGTTTTTCACAACAATTTCATCCGGTTATGTACAAAGGTAATAAGTGCAAAGTAAACTGAATGACATAATGGCATCATAACAGTTTAATAAATTGACATAAGAAGTGAAATTGAGATACCAATTAACACATGTCTGCCTTCTACCTGTTGTCCAACATAAAAAAAATTCACAAATATTCCTCAAGTACAGTTTACAAATCATTCCGTTACAAAAAGGACAAATTTGGAAGACGGAATTGGCCTGAAATGGAGTTGCGTTAAACAAAAACAAAAAATATCGAAAGTCATAACAGAACTTGAAGATCATGATCGTAAAACATGAAATTCATTCCATAAACATGAGTGGGCATGCACGGGTGGCATCCAGAGATCTGTCACATATTGACCAGAATTGCATTTTGATAGCTTTCCAGATAATGTGAGGAGGATTCAGCTTTCATTGAGTCACCATCCACCGTTCATGCCCACAAAAAGTCAAAAAAATCCTTTCGTGCATGATGGAGCAAACTGAGGAAAACTCAATTCGTCAAGGAAAAGTTAACATATATACATACTTTGGTGAAGCTGAGACGACTCTGAATTACACAATGATATTTACAATTCATTCCAGTTACTTTCAATTTGCTCATTGTGTATGTCACCGTTAAACAAATCCCTCTGTCGACATAACATGAAATCTGTGCTTAGGAAGACTATGCTTTTCACCTTTGTTTAACATACATGGAATACCTTCATGTACAGATATAAAAATTTCAACCTTTTTATTTCTTCCTGAATAATTACGAATAGGCAAAAAAGTTCAATTCAAGCACAAATTCCATCTGATGCCTTTAATTATAAGAAAAAGAATGCATCAATTTAAAAAGACAGTGGTTCCAAAGAAAATGCTGGTATATGGCAAGACAGATACATGCAAGGTTTTGGGCTGTTGAGCTTGCATTTTTTCCCCCTTTAAAATAACTTGATTTTCTCAGTTATTTCAATACAAACTAACTACATGTACATGTATGATCATGCCAAGAAAAATGGCTCCATGCTACCATTCTTTGATTTAGGTTGTTCAAACTTTAGACAAACTTGGCTAATTCCCAAACCTAAAAAGAAGAAAACTCAAGTCCAGTTCCTTTATTATTCTTGATTCATAAATACTTTGGACAGTTTAATTATTCCTATTGGTTGGTTTTAAACTGCCATTTAAACATACAGTTGAGATGTGAAAAACCAGTTGAGCGACCCCATGCACTGGGCCACAGTACGCTCCAAGCACGCTGGCTACAACCAAGTGCTTGACAACCACTGAAATGATCTACATCAGTTATGGTGCAATGGGAGCGAGCGCCACACGCACAATAGAAACGGCCTGACATAGAATAAATTGGTGGAGCCAAATTGTTGGAATTTGAAAAAGGTTTTAGATTGAAAAGGTATTTAATGAATGGAGATACCGGTAGAAGTGTCCTGGAGCAGTTATGAACATGATGTTCAAAACCAGTTATAGGCGTGGTCGCCGTTAACTGATCTTGCCTTCGGTCTGGGGTCATTATTGGCAACCATGCCCCCAACTGGTTTTACACCACACGTCTATGACTGCTACGTCACATTATTATCCCCTAATAACCACTGTCTTTGCTAGAGATAGGCATGGAAAGCATTCTAACACAAAGCCGACTGCATTGAATGTTAGTCCCAATATCACACACAATTTTCTCTGCAAAATCCTTTCATATATCTCCCCCCCCCCAAGTCTAAAACTTGATCAACAGCGCTGGCCTGAAGAATTCAAGGGGAAGAAAATGAGGGGGAGTGGAGGGGATGTGGTTTTTAACTTCAGCCTCCAGCTCTGGGTTACCAGATGCAAAAGTTGAAGGGAGGAAATAACATTTCCGGGGCAACGGCATTTTAGTAGTTCAAATGAGCACCAGTTAGAAACGACCTACTTTCAGTATGACCTTCAAGTGTCCATCTCCATGGCTACCTGTCCACCGTTTCACTAAAATGCTTTCCATGTCAACCCAAGACGTAAACTGGTGCATAGGATAGAACATTAATGTGATACACTTGATGGTTACAGTATTTTGCATGCATGATTAAATGCAACATATGATATTTGGTTACATGTTTCTTTATGAAAGTCAACTTGTGCATACATTAACTATGTAGGCAAAGTCTGGGTACAGTTAAGGGGTTCATCTAAACAATTTCATATCTTGGTTTCCAACCTACAATGGAATTAAAACCATTTGAATATATGCATTGTATGTGGATAAATATGGGGCATGCATGTGAATTAGGGTGGTAAAATGGTTAAGTAAATATATGTCATTTATGTACACACGATTGGCCACCAGAGGTGTTAAAGCACACTGACGAACAGCAATGCAGAAAAGAAATGACTTACGAAATCTTGATTAGTGTCTTTTTATAACTTTTGAAGTTAAGTGCTGGGGAAATATGACCCTTTCTTTTTATGAAAACTTAATGAAGTGATTTTTTTTGTTTTCTTTATATTTTGCCGAATATATTCACAATTTCAATTTTTTTTAAACAAATCTCTTAAAAATATTGTATTTTGTTTTCATCATCAATTTTTTTCCTTCATATTTCAAGATTTTTAAATAATGAAATGACTAAAAACAAATTCAATGATATGTACCATATCAGTAAAAACATTATAGCCTTTATATCACAATACCCTTAGAAAGCACATTTTGGCTTTTCATTCAATTTCAGAGTCATATGGGATACAATGATAAAAAAAATCTATATTGAGATGCAATAAGCTAGAATTGCGATAAGAAAAAGCTCTGATTAAAACAAAAAAAATTAAATGTCTCTCTCTCAAACAAACAAAAAAATAATACATAAAACATAAGCTTTTAAAGCATTTCAAACACAGGGACTGTACAGAATACAATATTATTCATAATATTATAAATATATCTCAATAGGGCACTTCAGCATGCATTTTTTTTTCTTATCTTACAAAACAAAAATTTCCCCTGAATATATACCACAAAACAAAACTTCACAGCACAAATTGAGGAAGACTGGGCAGTATGCCAATCCTGTAAAAGATGCAACATTGCAGATGTCTTGATGTCAGTATCAGAAGGCGAACGTTGTTGTTGGAGTTTCCAGCTTGTAAGCATTGCAGTAAGCGGAGTCAGCAAAGAATGATATATCACTTCATGGATCATGTTTTGCTGACATGACACATGTTTGGGTCTATGGAGTTCTCTGCAGTCAGTCAGCTACACAGAAGCTGCCATCCAAGCCGTGCATACCAATGTTGTAGTACTTCAGGGGTACATGTAGGTACCCTCATTAGTAAGTTCCAATTGGTTGGCATTTGTATCCAACAACAATGTTTTACTGGTCTCAGACACATACAATAAACATGCCTTGTACTTAAAGTATGTGACTTCAACACCGTTTCATTGTCACTCCAAGCCGCCTGACTTCACTCCAGATTTATGACTCAGTTGGAAGCAAACTGTCCTTGTTTGTTTCCGATACCGAGAACTGTCACTCTAGTTGCTTGTCTCATTTACTCACTGTGGGTGTGACGGCATTACTAGCAGTCTCCATCGGTTCCGCTGTGAGGTTGACGGGCAAAAATCTCTCTGTAAAACAGCAGTACAAGAGGAATAAACAACCGATTAATGGAAATTTATGGATAAAACATAGACATTGCAAGATGCCACAAGTTACTTTCTGTATATTACATACATATTATGGCATGAGGCTTTACCCTAGCCGCTTTGCAGTGGAGGTGGCTTCACTTTATAATATAGCGGTGATGTTAGGTTTATTACAAAATATCCTAGTGAGGAAATAGGTAACTGAGCAATGCGCTGAGAATTTCATGTCCAACAGGAAAACTCACAGTAATCTTGATTTATTCATTTCTTGCCAAGCGTACACATGCAAGTCACACCTTCATATATTATGACTTATTGGAATGTGTACGTATTAAGATACATTTGTTCGATGCTGTGATGTGGGGGGGGGGGGGGGTAGAGACAAATGCCGTATCACACACTACACCAATCACCTACTTTTCAAGCCGATGTAGGTGACAAATGTCGTATCCATTGATCTCCATTGGTAAGACTGGATAGGACACGCGTATACTTGCGCGCAGTGAAGATTCGGAAAACGCAGACACAAACAGCTGGGTAGTACAGTGCGGGTTTAATGTTTGTGACCGTGCATGCGTAACATGCGCGTGCTGCATGCTCTGTGCGTGACGAACACATTTCAAACTTTCAAACCCTCACCGATAGAAAACGTGTGCGTGAACAAGAGGGCGCTGTGTCCTATCCAGTCTTACTAAATGGAGATCAATGGTCGTATTCCACACTACACTAATCACCTACTTTTTAACCCTATGTAGGTGACAAATAACGTATCCCACACTACACCAATCACCTACTTTTCAAGCCTACATGTATGTAGGTGAGGTGTACATCCTTTATATGTGACAAAGGGTTGACGTTAATGTGTACCGTAATTTTCGGAATATAAGCCGCGCGGCGTATAAGCCGCAGCACGCAAAAATCTGCAAATTAAGATTTGAAGTCGGCGTATAAGCCGCACCGGCGTATAAGCCGCACCGACCGCTGCGGTTTCAATTTTGTAAGGCCTCCAAATTCTAGTTAAAATGCTCTGAACCAGTTCCATTTACACTACAGAAGCTATTAAAAGGACCACAAAAGTTATATCAAATCATTTACAATCGATACTTTTACAAACAAATATGGGAATTGATGAGAAATAAACACCGGGAACTGCTGCCGGCTGCCCCGTCATATCCCGGCAGCCTGCGCCACGCACGCCGGTGAATGACAACATTTTCCCACAGCACGTGAGAGAGTATGAAACCCACCGTGTGTTGTCTGACTGGAGCGCTACAAATCTTGCTTTGTGGCAACAGATGCTGATTTGTTTTGTCCTAAGAATAAACAGGTCCGTTTTTACCTCAAAACTTATCAAATTGTTGCGATTAGTTGCGAGAAAAATTCAAGTTTCGATCTTAACTTTCTTCGGAAATAGTCAAAACGAAGCGGACATTTTAATAGACGATTCCATTAATTTTGTAAGGGGTGATTTAGTCCCTCTTTTGAGTTTTACATCGTTTCTTGAATACATTTCAAGAAAACAAAATATATTGTGACGTTGAACAACTGATTATGTAATAAAAAAAAAATTGAATGCCATAAAAATTTTAGTGGTCTTTTTTTTTTTTTATTTAAACAGCGAAAATATTGGTAATTATTGTTCCCAAGAAAGAACACCCATTTGTTACCACAAATGGTGTGGTCCGTCGTTGGGAAAGCATGCCTGCATATCGCTGCTGCACTGTACCAGTATCACGTACGGCTGGTGGCAAGTGTCGAAGACAGCTTTCATCACCGTACTTTTTTACCGCTCGGTACCTTTACGTGAGACGTGGTTTCGGTTTGTTAATGACTTTCTTAATTTATAATTCATTTCAGCAACATATCTCTTCTTATACCAGTACATTAAATACACATGTGAATTTCATTTTTATTCTTCAAGGCTCGGCGTATAAGCCGCCCTGTGTATAAGCCGCAGTAAACATTTTCATGGGCAAAATCAACGTATAAGCCGCGGCTTATATTCCGAAAATTACGGTAATGTCGATGTCAAATTGGGCTATGGGCAAGTATTACTTCCCTTCATATAAGGGTGCAACAAGTATCTGCAAGCAATGGTGAGACTTACCCCCACAGCTGAGGAATGCTTCCTCACTGGTTGCAGCTGCTATTAAACCTGATGCAGTCAAAGAGAAAAAGCCAACAATAAAACCAATGATGTAGTCAAGATCTTTTTCAAGACCTCACACAAATGTTCATACAATGGAAAATCTTATTTGATTCAAGTCCAATGAGGGTGAGCACAGATTAGTTATGCTTTGACTTTGAACATACAATTCAGTTGGGTTGTTTTAATGTTAAATTAGGATTTCAAGTTATCATTTTATCGGGCAATTAACCTGTAAAAGTCTCCAAAAGGTCTAGGTGAGATTTTGGCTTCTGAAAATAACTTTTTAAATCCAACATTAGAACTAGCGATGAAGTCACTTTTTTTTTAAGGCCTTACACAAATGTTTACACAATATAACATTTTTTTAGCTGTGGGATAGCAGCTCCACAAACCATCGTGTTTCTCTGTTACATGTAGTCCGTTATAGTTAGTAATAAACGCTGACATTGTCCATTACTCCTACATACTTTGACCAATTTCTACCAAACTTTGTCAAAAGTATCAGTAGCCCAGCCCCAACATGTCACATGACCAAACTGGGGTCAAAGGTCATCATGGGGTCACTGGGGTCAAAAACCTGATTTTTATTTACTCAAAACACTACTCTTTCCAGAAATTACATGGCACAATCACTTGACTCATGCATGAACACGAATTCGTCGGCCCGCAGCTTCTGAGATCCGATCGAGCTTGTTTTAAGACAAATGTGGATTAACAAAGATTCGTAATGCTTTGACTTTCAACATATAATGAACAGTGAACAAATTATTTGTATTCCTCACTAGAATATTTGAATAAAATGTGACCATGTGCTCAAAAATGGTAACGTGAATAAAAAAATAACATTTTGATGTAACATGCAATGGTCTCTTTAAAACATAAAACTTATTATTAAAAGATAAGCAAAATATGTAGGCCCCTTTAACACAAATATAACTTTAATTCAAATGCAAAGAGGGGAAAATAATAACAATAATAAAACAACATATTTTGATCATAAATCAGTTAGTGATGTATCAGATCTGCCCTGGCATACAGGATATCCTGATCAGAAATGACAATAACTGTGCCTGGCAGCAAGCCAATCAACTTTTTAAGTGTTTAGTCTTTCCTCGTGGGGTCGGCAAGGGCTGGCCCTTTTCCTGCTTCAAGGCCACAAAATCTCCAGCAGCGGTATCGTATATTAGATATGAGTTGACTCATCTCCCAGCTGTTCAGCTCATTAAGCCGCAAAGGGGATTGGTCCGATCCATAAAGTACTAGAAACCACACGTCATCAATCCCTGGGCTGATTACCATTTCTGGGAACTTCCCAGATCATATGATCTTAATTCTTGGCAGGTGAAAGCTAGGTACAATTACTGGGGATTTTATTTTCCCTCTAAGTGAAACATGGCCTTCAAATCACCTACGTGGCAAATACATTCCATATGTGGCGTACTAGGAATAATTTGTTTGTAAAGAATTGTTTGAATGGGGTCAGAACATGATTAATTTATGTTAACATGATTAAGGGAATTAGAAGGTTTAAAACATTATGTTTAAGATCGGTTGAGTCAGGATGCTGATAATTACCTGAGCCGAAGGTTTTCGGTCCAAAAGTCAAAACAAATCAAAAATTAAAACTTCCCAACGATTTTGTTCAATAATCTAACTTCATGTTTTTCGAAACACCCCTCTAGCTATATAATGGAGTGTCCGGCTTGCGAGTAAGATGTAAAAAACTTTCATAGAGATTGGCGTGCCCGTCGCGCATACTGCGCGATGTCGCACAGATGCAGCTGTGGGGAGTGCGTTGTGAATTTTGGACTATGAAATATTAACTCACTGGTAGTATTGCGCATTGTGAACGTTCAACCAATAAAACGGTAGAAGGCACCAGATTTCATGGGAGTCCAAATTTCATGTGACACTGGAAAAGTGTTAAAGACCAGACAGCCAAGTCTTTATCATCTGTTTAAGACCAGCCACGTGACAGGCTCTCGACCAATGGGAATGGGTAAGCTGTCTGAGGTATTTATGAATGATGATTTAAAGCTCTCTCTCTCTCCACAAAACTCATGAAAATGGTCTTTTCAGAAGAAATACACTGATACAGTCTCCAACAGGTACCACATTAGCTCGCTGTATACAAAGAGTTAAAAGCAACTTGTCTTACATCACAACAAAATAATTTTAACAGTTTAACAAGGAGCTCAGCTTTAGATTTTTTTTTTTAAATGTGAAAGGATATCCATATTGCATCACATTAGGAAAAATGACTACAGAAAAGAGAAAGGAAATACATATCGGCTGAGACTGAACTTGATAACAATGTTAAATATCTCACCAGACAGCATGGTATAATCTGTATTCTCATCGAGTGAAATCAGGGGTGTCGTCCAACGTGGGATGGGTGTCGATCGAGGTGTAGATCTGGGTGTGGCCACCGGGGAGGTAAGAAATCCAATCGTTGTTGGACTGATATTGATAGGACTGATACTGGGGTAGGACAGCACCTGAAATTAATTACAAAAAAAAAAGAATTGTAAAAAAAATAGGAAAGCTATGAAGAAAACATGTAATGTACCACAGCAAACCAACATATACAACAATGAAAAACACTATGTACGTATTTTTTTTTTCATGCGAATTTAATGTCAAATGCAAGATGCCATAGACTTTGTGAGCAGAGATGCAATGTTAATTACAAAAAGCAGGCCAATTTGCTTAAGTTAAAAGAAATGTGCATTAATAATTACTGTTAGCAAAGCGGGATTGAGTATATATGCAAGTTCTTTTCCCTGCCTACCATCAGAAGTTTATAGTGAATGGGGTTCACTTTGGAAAATATGTTGGGGTGTGCCCTACAAAGTGGATTTTAAATGCCTTTAAATGTAAAGAAATTTACATCTAAGTGAAAAGCAAATTTTGAGAGTAAAATATCCATGCACACACTATTAAGTATGCAGATAAGCCTTTTCCATGAACTGAACTTGAAGCAAAAAACCACTCTGATTGCAAGCTTCAACTTTCACGGAATCACCACATGATGTGTTCAAGAGTACTTTGAGGTAAATTCGTAAATTAAAGAGCACTTTGAGTACTCCCATCATGCTTCGTTCCTCTTGAAGATGCCTAAAGGATATGTAAGATTGTGTTCTCAAATATTGCCTAACTTGAATTGGTTGCAATGGCTTAGGAAATAACTGAAATACATTACTAGAAAAGCAGAGACATTGAGATGGCAGAACTTTGGAGGTTCACTGCCATACTCTTGATAATTAGCGTACTGTTTCTATGGGATTTAGTTGGGGTGCAAGGTCAGGGAGACAATCTGGAGGTTTCCACACTAAGACACACCTGTTGTTGATGGGCATGGACCAGGCCGTTATCGGGCCTACTGGTACCCAGGACGGTGAAGGGACTCGTCATGATGCTCCTACTTACAGGGGGTGTGGTCGGATAGGAGGAGACGGCAGCTGAACTGGAACTGGACGATGAGGGTGTACAGGATGAAGACGCTAGTGATGAAGAGGAGACTGTATAGACACAGCAATGTGGGATACAAGACAAAAGCCATGATTCAACGCTATCCAATGGCTTCATACTCACACACCCCCATCATCAAACAGAAAACACACCGTTTACTTCATGTAAAGCAACAAATCAAGACTTGCTCAAGACTTGCTCAATTTGCTCTGGACGTCTCGGATTAGGTATGTCTTTTTGATCTACTTTCTTAGATGTGCAGAATAGCAACCTCGCATGTAATGTTATACAAACGATGAATGTTTATGAGTGCAATGGTAAGAATAATTTCATGAGGTGATAGATGAAATGTTCCATTTCACGAGGCGAAGTTTCATACAACACCTGAATAAATCCTCATCATCTGATATAGTGTGCCGCGTTTTCTCTTCTCAGTCCTGAGTAAAATAGCGACAAGAAGTTGTTCAGTTGTGAATCAGTATAATGCTTCAACAGATGTCCCTGTATGTTTTGCAAATGTGTCTAATTGTTTGGCAGCATATTTTATTTGCTTCTTTGTGTTAGCAGCTGACCTACAACTCTGATATTTCATCTTCTGTTAGGAGAACAAACGTTGTTTCAGTCTCGCGTAACGTCCGCATTTTGTGAAATAGATTCGTGTCACAGCGCCACCATCGGCAGCACTGAATCCGTGTAATGGAAGTTCTATTCACAGTGCAATAGAACTTCCATTGCACTGTGCGCTGCGCGCGGTGCGTTGGGATGAATAATTCAATGACATGTGATCAACGATCTACCAATCAGATGACGGGGATTCATTCAGGTGTTGTATAAAATGTATTGTGACCACCAACTGCCTTGATGTCACTCATAAAACAAACGGTTGGGATTGGTTCTATTATACATAGTTTTCTTCAGTTACATGCCAATACTGAAAAACCTGATTTGAGTACAAGACGACTGTGCGTGTATATAGTACTGCCTGTATTCTTAGACTACAGAAGAGAGACACCTAGGATATCAGGTAACTTCATGAGTTTGACATTGCAACTTGCATCCTCAGACACAGTCACACATTTTGGAGGATTTAAATTATTCTGTCATGTGTGTATATCAGTAAATTGGTAATGTATGTGAAACATTTTTTTTTGCCATGCAGCCTACAATGTACATGCACAACTTAAGCAAATTGTGAGGAAGTTTGTAGCAGCAAATGTACCGGCCCACCTGCTCTTTCATGCACATCATCATTCTCGCAGGATATCATAGTCAGTTCATGTCGAGTCATTGTGGAAAAACTGCAATATACTACAAACTCGTCTTTTGTCGAACAATGAGAGACTTTTGAGACGTTGGTGGCAGCAAACATACCGGTCCTTTTCAATTGTTTACGTCATGTTAAATCTAAAGCGCGCATGCTCAATATGATGCGAACAATGGAAAAAGGACGGGTGTGTTTGCTGCAATCAACGTCTCAAAAGTCTCCCATTGTTCATGAAATTCTTTAACAGATGTGAAACATGTCCATCTGTTTAAAAATGTCAAGAACATTGGGGGAAAAAAATCAAATGACAGTCAACTTCTGCATTGTCACACAGCTGTTTTTGATTGTCTTCTGAAGTAACTCTGTTGAGGTGCTTGATTGGTACTCTAAGCACTCTGTCTGTCCAATCAGAATGTATCGTGTAAAGTATTTTTCTATCCATGACATGCAGAGAAAGTAAGAGTTTGCAACTACAAACATATAAGCATGAACAAGCTTAGCTCTTTAAAAAATGTCTTACAAGTCAAAATGCAAGCAGATATGCAAGCAAGCACAGCTCTCGGAGTAGCAATGACAAATCACACATTTTCTTGAGTCACCAACGTATTTTCAAGGTTACATTATATTACAGTCACCTCAACTATGGCAACCTATCAACAAGATATCCGAGGGTGTTAGCATCGAGTGTGTTATTCATTCATTTGGTTATCTAAGGCGGCCAGTTTTCATATGCAGAGCAGTACATAACAAACAGTGACAAAGGAAGAAATGCATAAATGTCCTTAAACCAACAAGATAAGATGCCAAAAACTCTCAAATTGTAGGTTTCAGTGCTTCTTCAATTTCAATTTTCTACAAGTTGAAGTGTGCAAATTGTAGGCCCTGCCCTAAATTGCTAACACTATTTGCTTATAATCTAATACAGGATCACACATAAACCCTGTAATACCCAAACTCATATCAGAACTTGGACAGCGGCCATGCAAGAGGAAATAAATATCACCCGTTTCTCCCCAAGCAACCCCCAGATGGTTTTATTACTCCCTAGTTTCCCAGGCAACCAGCTGGGCCAATGACAAGCATGAATCATCAGCAGGTCCTAATTGGCCATGACATTCAAGGGGGCCTGTGGCACGCACCGCTGCCAGATCATGTGACTTCCTGTGTGCCCCGCGGATCAGCTGATGGGCATTGTTCAGCAATTTGCTCCTCCAGTGGAGTTTCCGCGTGGAAATTGAGGGCAATAAACTTTTCGGATTGACAACTTCTTCCCTTACACAACTGCAGCCTTAATAACAGGGTTTTTCATGCAGGGTTTTTCATTCTTGCAAAGATTAGTTGTTGCTTCGTATCTGAGGCCACAATTTTTCACTATTAGGCATGCACAATTCTTAAAGGTACTTTAAAAGTATCTCTGCAGAGTGATCCGAGCCTTCAATCTTTTTTGGAATTTGGCCTTTCCCGAGTGCCTTGTTACTGAGATTTCAGATATCCCTGATCATGATTCAGCAGACTCACCTTGAGCACTAGTTGAATTAGGAACGCTGGTTTGACTGGTCACACTGGACAGGGCACCAGTTTGGCCGATGGCGGTGGCTATGGCAACTGGTCGTGCCATTGGAGGGGGAGGGGGTGGTGGAAGCATTGCCGTTGGGATGAAGCCAGCTATCTTGGTGGGGCTACTTGTGTTGCTGACTGCACTACTTTTTATCTGAGATTTAAAAAGGGTTAAAAGTTCAAAAGTTTGTAAAACTCATGCATTTGAAATTCAGGTATCAAAATCAAAAACAAATCTATATGTGTACAGTTGTATGTGTGAATAGTTATTTTTGAATAAAAATTATTGGATCATGACACACAGTGACAAATACTGTGAAATTTTAGTCACTATGTCCAAGCCGAAGAAGAAATTTAATAAAAACAAATAATTTGTAGGAATGAACAGTAATAATTTTAATAATAATTTAACAACAACAACAACAACAACAAACAAAAAAACCTAAGGTGCCTTCTAGCCTTTTTTTTTTTATCCTATGCAGCAATTCTGGGCAGACGTTCTGGACAACAGGTCAATCGATGGTTTCATATCTATGGCTATGAAGAGGATGATGTGATGGACTTACTTGCTGCTGGTAGGCATCTTGGTGGCACACAAGCTGAACAAAGTCCGATAGTGGGCCAGAGTCAGGATGCTGGGAGTGTAACCTCAGCTGGTTAGAGTAATGAGGGGTCTGTGCTAAGGACGGACCCGTGAAAGACGCCATCGTTCCTTGTATCTGACCTACTTGCAAGGAAGAAACAACAGAAAAGTGGCATCATTAATATCATCTCTCTCTTTGGCGCTTTAGATTTTAGCATCAACACTGTTTTTACAAAAACAAAAATATTATTAATTCTGATCACTGACAAGTTATTTTAAGTCCTTTTTTGGTTCATACACGAATGTAATGCCAAAATTTTACTGTAAGTAACGTAACAGCACACTAAGTATTCCTGTAGCAAAATCACAAGAGTTGAGCACGTTTCATCAACTCCTGCACATTTTGCTGTGAATACTTTGGGACATACCAGCCTGGTATGGGGAAGGATAACAATTATATTTTAAGTATTCTGGCATATATAATGTACTTGTTTTGCATGTCAATACCCTGGAATTCACATCAACAATTTTCATCTAAATGTGTGCAAAGCTGTATTGCACCAAGCGTATGGCAGCAACGGTGTAATAAGAATCTGCTGTAAGCCGTGCTACAACTGATAATGTAGTAACAAACGGATAACGTATCACCAACCGCTAATGTCACAAACATTGACCGATCACTAACCGATAATGTAACAAACATTGACCGATACTGTATCACTAAACGATAATGTAACAAAAAAGTGACTGATAGTGTGGTAAAATGTACTACACTATCAGTCAATTGTTGTTATATTATAGGTGTCAACTGATGATCTAACAAAAATTGACTGACAGAGTCGTAATGTTACTACACTATCAGTCAATTTTTTGTTACATTATCGGTTTAGTGATACAATATCGGTAAATTTTTGTGACATTATTGGTTGGTGCGTATCCGTTTGTTCCTACATATGTATCCGTTTGTTCCTACATTATCACACCGCCTTTTTAAAAGCCATTTCAGTCCAATTGAAGTCCGATGTGTACAAAACCTTATTTTTAATTGTAGGCCTAACAACACCTCTCACAAAAAATGGAATGACAACGGAAAGGCAACTTAACACTCCATTGGTCACAATACACGCGGTACTAAGGCACTGAAGCCAAAGCACCATGGAAACTAAATTGTTATCTCACCCTTATACTCGTTTGCCTGGCTAACGTGGGACAGTCCCTGATGTAGGGAGCATGAAGACATTCCTCCATCTCCTTCAATCTTTGGTTCAATTTTGAGGATTCTCCTGGTTACTGGAGAGGACTGGGTAGCAAAACTGCTGGCTGCCTCTGAGATCTTGGGTTTGTGACCAACTAGGGCTAGGCTGGACGGGACAACAGGACTTGAGCCTGTAACAATAAAAGGTTGGAAATACAATGTTAAAGAGTTCATCTGAGACTTCACATTTGCTTAAAACACGCTTATAATTGAATTACTTAATTGAATGGAAAATAACACCAAAAGTTTTCACATACTCATAGCCTAAAGTGCATAAACACATTAAATTGTCACTTTACTCTTTACACCATTTTTAATTACAAACACCTTTGACCATAGCAAAAGAAAGCCTAATCCTCAACATCACATTGTCAATGGATATGGATGATTGTGCACCAGTTATAGCTTACATTAGGCCAAGCTTTAACCAAATCAAATTCTCTCCAAGCACAATGCAATCAGGGAGCAATTTCTCTTTGCATTTGAAGGTGGTAAAAACAGGGTTGCATGGGTGTTCCTGCCATGCATGACTCCTGAGTGTAAAACCAAGGAGCCATGGGTTCAAGCCCATAGAATGCGAGCTAGTCGAGAGCCAGTCAACAGAGCTCCTCTTTTGATGTTTTTTTTCAACTGAGGGGCAGGTTCATGGTTGCAGCTAGGCCAATAAATAGGCCTCAAATTGCCTATACCAACCAACTCACAGCCAAGGGCGGATCCAGGGGGGGGGGGGGGACAAAGGGGGCCATGGCCCCCCCAAAATGAATCAATTTCTTTTTTCTTTTTTTAGATGACTTCGCAATAAAGGCAGGCAATGAGTAAACCACCATCTTTTCCTCAAAAAACATTGGTTAAAGTGGTCAGAAATTCTAGAATCCAAAAATTTTTCGGGGCCCTTAATGCGCACCCCGAACCCCACAACGTAATTTTTTTTGACACACCCTTTGGGGATCAAAATTTTTTTTAGCCCACCAAAATTGTGTTCTGGATCTGCCCTTGCTCACAGCTACATGTAGTTTGTTCATAGGTAAGTGTTTGGTCTGTCAATTAATGTCTATGTATGTGTCTTACATGTAGGTCTCAAGTCAGCAGAAAATTGCGTGCTTGACACTTGTTGCCTACTCATGAACATACCAGGGTCTATGTCACTGTGCCAACTACCAGATTGGCTGCTCAGAGAGGCCGGAGACCGGCCATAGAAGTTCAGATTCTCTGTGTCTTCCCCGACACTATCCACGTCATCATCAGCTGAGGACATGGTGCTGGAGTTACGCTTGATTCGCTTGGTGATTGGATGGTTTGGTTGGATGTGGCGGCGGGTGGCAAGTGGTTGTGTGACATCCGGGGCATACTGGAAGTATGTAGGACTCTCTAGATCACTCAGTGGTAAGGTGGTCGAGGCGCCGTCACAGATTGACCCTATATAAACCAATGACAAACAATAAGGTCTTTCTCAAAGTTAAATGAGAAGCAATTAAAAGAAGAATTAAGAATAAAGTCAATCACAGAAATGATTTGCAACCCAACAAGTGATTGTTGTATTGTGACTAGACTTGTGAATGGACTCATGAATTACTTGTAACTGGACTTGTGATAGACTCGACCTACATCCCTAAATCCAACCGAATTCTTAAATCAGCAACAAAAATTGAACTGTTTAATGTCAAAACGAATCGGGTAAACAAAAAAAAGGCCGCAGTACAGGGAAGTGAACGTGTGATCTCAATACTGCTACAATAATCATCTGTAATTGTTCTTTGCCAAAATTACAAGGTCAAGTTCAAAAAGTGTTCCCCTGAATTATATATTTTTTTGATTTTCAGTTATAATGAAAATATCACTCTTCCCAATAAAATTTGTTCTATAAGGTTTCCCTCCGACTTGTCCAACCCAGAATTCTTCCTTGTGTATATTTAGGGCTTCAGGGAGTTGCCAAACACACCAATCACTCCAACTCACACAGTGCACTGTACAATGAAGTAAAGCATTTTATGAAACATACCTTGCGTAAGTCTTCTCAATTCATTGGAAGAGAAAACTCCGCTGGTGGCAAAACTATTCGGCTCTTCTTGGGCAGTTACAATTGTTACTAACAAAAACCAAAATCAGAAAAAAAAATAACTAAATAAATATATACTCTTTTTTTTTTTAATGATCTAAATGTTCCAATTTTGTTTTATTATAAACCCAAATTTTCTGAGCTGCAGAAGTGATCAATATTTTCAAAAAGAGTACACCGTGACCATCCCTAACTATCCGGCTTAATTCTGAGTAAGAAATCTTTTTGACATTTTAACATGCATTATAATAATCCTCCCGCATTATGTTATTGACTGGAAAAACAAACAAAGAAACAAACACAATAATAACTAGAAGGCAAATATATCACAGGTTTCCATTACCTTTTGTGTAACAAATGTTCACTTCAGAGTATTATGCGCCTATCAAATGTCCCCCCCCCCCACCCCACCCCCGCTGCCCCGGGTCCGATGCCGGGATTTGGCCAAGTTTTTCATGCCCCAGGGTGGGGATTTTTGGTCACTCAAATTACGTTGTTAACATTGGCGTACTGCATGGAAAGGCAATCACTAGTGCGCCCCACGTAGGCATGTCGGGCATGGTCGGGGATTGTCACTTAAATTTTGCCCGAGGAATGGGGATTTTGTCACTTCAAAAGTGACAATCCCCACATCTTGGGTGGGGCAGCCCGGGGGGGGGGGGGGGGGATTACGTTTAAGTTACACATTTACATTTCGTATCACTTTCTTTCAAGCTCTCCACAAGAAATTCATTGAAAAATTCTTCCTTTTATGTTATTCAAAATGACTACAATGCGTGCTCAAGATTGAGACTTTTTTTTTGAATGTTTTCCCCTGCTTTAATTCCTTTGATCATGATGATATTTAGATTTGAATTGTATGGTCAAGAAGAGAGAGAGACAGAAAAGTGCAGGTGGCTTCAAAATTAGGGTAGCAGCTTAGCCAATAAAAAAAAAAACCCCAAAAAACCGACAAAACTTTCTGTTAAGCTAAATGCTCTGCCCATGCTCTACCATACAATTCTCCATTTGATACTCGCAGGATCAAGGCATTTCTCTCAGTGTTACACCCTGACTGTGGGTCCAGGGAAGGATAAATCCCTGCAATTTCAATACTGAGAGCACCACCCCCTCCATTGAGTGTGTATATAAGTAAGCCATACACCATTTGTCCTTGCCCTTGGCATTTCAGCATCATATCCCATCAGCTTTATTTGCCATTTCCCTCACCTCACACACAGGCCATTGACCCCATAACTGGTGTGATCCAATGGGGGTCCAGGTTCTCAAATCCCCATGCGTCATTTTCCAGTAACCCAAGCTACCGGTACGTACACAATACTCATGTAAGTATGAACATGAACATGTACGCATACAGTTTATACCCTACATGTTTGAACGTACTGCATCCACATACATACCCTAGGGGCCAAGAGGTTTATTGACCATCAATGCTGTACCAGGATGTGGGGGCAAACTTTCATAAACAACCAGTTCTCAGAACTTTCACTTTCACTTCCTATATCCAGTCTGTACATCTACTGGCCTATACTCAGCAAAGGGCAGTCAAGCTCAACAATAGGCAACGCAACCCATTGTTATCAACCAAATTGACCTCCCAGGGCTGATTGCCATGGCAACATGAACAAGAATCAGTGGATTTGCAAATCCACCCGTGCATTGTGCTCTTCATGCTGTACATTTTAATTGCCTTATAAAGCATTCATGAACACATACACATACATGTACAGGTACGTATACATGTAAACATAATTATGAGTATGTTCCGGCCCCTACAACAATAAAACATCTGCAAAGTGTATCACAATATCAGTGCCCCCCCCCCCCTAAATCCCCCCCACCAAAAAAGAAGTGACTGAAAATGTTTAGAAAATGAAATAAAAAAACGTGTAATTACTACAAAACCCTGGCTTCTGCAATTTTTCTGTGATAAATTAACCCCCCCAAAATGTATATCAAATGAGTTTGGAACACCATCCTATCTCCTAACCTCTAGAGAAAGAAAAAAAACCCAGCCAACTGAATACCAACAACTGTGTAAATGTATCATCCTATATGTACACGTACATGTATATTAAAATACATCCCTCAACCAAATTTATGATGAACATGATGAAGCCTGGCAGAAATCTATAAAACAACAGCCAGAGAGTAACTACCAGAGAGAATAATTCAAATCCCTCTTGATGGCCTCAACTTAGGTTGTTTACCGATGCCTGAGTTACAAGCCTCGTGACTCATGGACCAGGAAGCCGCTGAAGTCAACACTCACCACAGAAAAATTATACAACAAACTTCTCCTGGAAAAAAAACTGACAGCGAATTTCCACTGTGAATTTGCTCCCTGGAGGCAGGTAGGAGGGCATTGATCTCAATTGTTTGTGAGAAATACTCCCAGAGCGCCCTGTGGTGTTCAAGGTTATAGTTTATTAGGGCAATTGTCCATCAATTCTCTTTTTCTCTGAAAACAGTGGTCAGTAAGTAGGCCACAGAGTGGTGCACCCAGGTACACAGTGGTACATGGAGTGGTACTGTGTATTTTTGTTTTAATTACTAATTACAATTCCAGTTACCAACACTTTCTGTTGAAAGCTTTTATTGTTGAACACAAATTGAGTCTGTGTAATAAGGCCAAGTAAAAAAAAACCAACACAGTTGGTCGCCCCCGCCCGCATCCTTTTTTGAAGCCGAAATCCTTTTATTTTTTTTTCATTTTAAAATTGTTTTTCTATTTTTTTTCATGCATAAATTGGGTAAAATATGGTACATAGTCATCATTGTTTAACACAAACATTTTGACTTATTATACTAGTAGAATAGCTAATAAAAAGCTGGAGGTCATTTTGAACTGAAAAGTTGGCGGCCATTTTGAATTTAAATACATGGCGGCCATCTTCGACAAAAATAAAAAATAAAAAAATAAAAAAATAAAATGCCCTTCATCCTCCTCAGTCTTTTTGAAAAAAAAAAACCCGACCAACAATTGGTATTTTTTTTTTAACTTGGCCTAACCTAGTTACACTGAAAAAAATGTGGTATTTAACTAATTAAGTTTATAATTTATCAAATTAAAGGAAACTAGAATTAACCAATGTGCATTAAACACCTAATCTATTCGTTGACAACTTCAGGGGACCATAACAACATATGAACTCTGAAAAAATGAAGAAGAAATTTTCAACATCACTGTGCGACACTTTCAGAGGGCCTTTCCGACTCATACGAGCCAAATTATACTTGATTGCATCAGAGAAACACTGTAATTATTTTCACAATAAACAAGTCACATCACACTCACTGGACATAAAAAGACCATAAAAATCTTAATACAGCTATTGTTTTCAAGATTGGTCTATGTATCAAGGAGCTCCACTTGCTGTAAGTACATGTACCCTTCCTTAATTTGTGGAAAAAGTCAACCACTAGAGGGCGATATACACAGAGCCGATAGGCTTAAAATGTCACTTCATAATCTTGTACAAGGACTGCACAAGATGTGAATGACACATGGAGGTCAGGAACATGCCTCTAGAGAAAGCAAGAGGAAATCTCCACTTTCCCACTTCTGGGAAACAGAAATGTGGTTTAGAAATTTGGGATTGTTTTATGTGGAGTCATGCAACTAGCAGGGGACCATAGTTGGCATTGAACTGTCAAGACCTCCATGTACATGAACAAGTGGGGACATAGACTTGAGGACAAGTCACTAGACAGTCGTGTAATTGTCTTGTGGCACTTATGGCCCTGCTTGTACATGTGTATGTGTTTCCGGGCTGCCAACTTTGAGCAAGAACTGATTTGAGCAAGAACTAATGGGAGCGTGAATTAAGCGCAAGCATGAAGCCCTAGCTAACAGCATGGGGGCACCAGAAAGTTTTGGATTCTGACCACTTTAACCAATTTTTTTGTTAGCAAAAGATCATCATTTAAATATCATGTTCGAGTTTGGAGCCAATCTCTTGATTAGTTGTTTTAATTTTCATTTTTGTAAAATTATCAATTTTTTTTGCATGAAAAATCCTGTGTGGGCGTGAGCATAAACCTGAAATGCTTGGGTCTCAATGCGTGAGGGTTGGCAGCCCCGGTGTTTATTATCACTTTCTGTTTCTGGCCAATGATAGCTTACCTCCACTGAGGAAGCATCCACTGTTAGAGTACATTTATCTTTTTCTTTTCGAAAGATTCTCATTAGAAATTTAAATTAATAAAATTAGATAATATTATTTGCCAAGTACTTGTTCTCCGAATAATAGAAATAAATATGATTGAATACCAAACGGCTCAGGAATTAGCAAACTGAGCTACAATTTGGTAGTTTTGCTATACGCCTTGGTCTGTAGGACTCAATGTATTTTATGTCTATTTCAAAAGTTTTGTTGTAAATTCATTCCTCAGAAATTATTTTGTTCAAACCTTTTTTCCCCCTTCAGCTGCAAGGATGAATCCCAAGGCGGTGGGTAGGGGGAGGAGAGGGGATCAGGGAATTAATTAAAGAGCCCCTCATTCCTGTTTAACCACCCCCCCCCATTCCCTCCTTCGGCCCTTTCAGCTATCTCTTGTTTTTTTAAAATATGTTACAACTTTTCCTGAAGTTAGTTTGTGTCTGGCTATATATCTATGTAAATGCTTACATGGATTCTGCCAATCTGGTTCACTGCCACTTTTGACTGACATGCTGTCCCCAGAATCACTCAGTGCCCGCTCTGCAGGAAAGGAAAGAAAGAGATCAAGGTGTAAAGAAAGAGATCAAGGTGTAAAGAAAGAGATCAAGGTGTAAAGAAAGAGATCAAGGGATGGATTAACACTTACTACATTTATGCTCAAATTATCAAGAGTCTGTATGATTCCAATAAACCATTGAAGCTTCGGGTTAAGTTAAATGCAGGATACTCTAACAAGTGCGGGTGCTCAATAAGCTCTGGCCTGGTTCCAGAACATCAGTATGCAAAATAGATGCGCATGCGCATCGATCAAGACAAAGAGGCTTGTTCCGAAATCTTTTGTCAAGAGTGCATTTACAGACGACAGCATTGCATTTGGTCGATTTCTTGATCAATTGGGGGCCCGTTTTCCGGGGACAGACCGACCAACCAAGAACAAAGTGACATATGTAAAAGCACTGCCAGAGCTCAAAAACAAACTCAAACATTTGAATTATAAACTACTACCTACAGGTTACGAGAAAAAGGCTCAGCAGGTCTTTCCCTCTTCCCCCAACTCCCAAAAACAAACAAACCCTGAACATCCCCCAAAAAATAAAATGGAGAAAAAATATTCTCCAACCACCCCTACTCCCCCCCCCCCCCGAAAAAGAAAAAAATTTCAGAGAGCAACAGTTTTCAAAGAAATGTAGCAATTAATGCTTCAAATTAATATTCTGAAAATGCATCAGCTGGTTATGAAAATATCTCAAAATCAGAGACTCAACGAATGACATGGGATTTCTGAAATCAATCAGTATGCAAAATATCATTCAAAGTAGGGCTGTGCCTGCCAGGGAAAATTTGTGTTGGTTGCATTCAGATCAACCTGTTTAACCATGCAAGTCCAAACACAAACTTGGCTGCCAAGTTCTAAGATGGCAACCCCCGGATGCGAACCTTTTAGATACCCGGATAAGATGCGGTCACTGTGGTAAGTTAATGGTCGAAGGGAAAATGAAGTCAGTTCCCGGGCACTTAGGGATAGATCAGGGGAAAAGAAGGGGACAGCCCCTTACTAAGACGAGCAGAGCGCCAGGGTCCTGACATTTCCTGTTCAGATTTACTTCCTCAATACCATGGATTTGTACACATCATTTTCATCTCACACAAAATGCCCATATAAAGAGATGGGGCAAGCTCCTTAAATATGGAGGCTATAGACTATATAGGCCAATGTATGCAAATTGCAGATGATGATGACATTTATCACCCCCCCCCCCATTGCTACTCCAAAACCAAACCAATGCAAATCCCAAACTCCGAAGTTCAGAAATAAATGTCATACTGACCAAGGTATGATCTGAAGAAGAGAGAATTGCTTATTTTATGTCATTATTTACTGTGAACACTTGAGCTGAGTGACGAATCAGTTAAAAGAGGTGCATACAAAAACTTCAGACTTATCTCTTTTCTCAATATATTGAACACTTTAAGTTTAAGTTACTTAAATGGTCCATTTCACACAAAAATTGAGTATCCCTCATGACAAAAGTTGTGTTTTGTACATTTATAAGCATACTACATGTATAGTGTTTAGGTTTAAAAGTAGCGTCCATTGTAATTTGTGCATTATGTTCGTTTGAAGCAACAAAAGTGCTCAAAACCTAAAGAAGGGTGCTAAACAACTAACCTGATGAACTTTCAGCTCAGCGAAGGCTGTATATTCCGAGAAAACACTATTCTAGGATCTCGTTTTCAAATCAATTTGCTGATTCATGTTTTGAATTGGGCCTGACTTCAGCGTCCGGGACACATTCTCACTGAGCCGATTGAAGCTATGCAATGTTGCGCACTGAACCGACGAATTATAGCAACCCCGCGCACGTGTGCGTTGTGTCAACGCTTCGCGCACTTACAGAAATTTCCAACAATGCGTTTTTCTTTCATTGATTTCTTCAAATTGACAGCTTGCCAGAAAGAATAATTTTATAGGGAGTTTAGTTCCATTACTATCTTTAAAACCAAGTAGGCTTTTCAACAATAATGATGTCAGCTTAACTTTTTGGACAGAAGCAAATGATGGACTGTATCTTTAACTTGTGTGAACATATGGTTTGACTGTTCATGTGGCTGCACAGCTGTCATATTACAATACAATTGTACATGTACATGTAGGCCCCAGTGCTGATACAACCAATTTGCACACATGAGCACTCAAGTGTACAAACCTATTACATGTATGTAAATCACCACCCCTTGTAACATACTACACGTATATTAATGTAAATTTGATACTTGTGAAATTATCAATGCATTTCACAGTTTGCACCAGTGGGAATTTTGTTAAGTGTGAATGAACAACACAAAGCGGCTACATTCATATGCCCTATGTAGTATGACACACAAGCCTTTATACATGGGTAAGGTCAAAGATCCAAACCTGTTTACAAAAATCGGAAGTGTAGATAGCAACCATGGTTGCAACACAGAATCAATATTATTGGCCCCAAAGTTTCACCGCAAGTATGTAAACAATAAGCAACCTTGACTGTAAAAGTTTAAGTTTCACTGTCTTCTTGATAAAAGGCCTACATTGTCCTTGATATGGCTACGCTTTTCACATTTGTACCCATTGGAAATTCATGTGCATGAGTCTCACCAAAAATTAAATATGATTGAACAACCAAATGTCAAAGTCTCTTAATCAATTCAATACTTTTAAGTAATGGCACTGTATTATAAACTAGATTTTTATCTGATCTCCCTTTTTCCAGCATGATTGGTGCAGTCTGGTTGGCACAGTACCGTAGTTCTTTCCTACCGGTAGCTTTTTTTTTTTTTTTTACATTCATGTACACATGTACTCCCCACTCCTAGCAGTTCTAGTTTTATTCCTTCTAGTCTACTAGTGCTCTACATGTGGATTTCAGTCTGCTAAGTGAGTTTTTATACCAGTTAACGTTCTCTCAAAACATTGCTCAGGCAACTCATGAGCGTTGAAAATGTATAAGAAATTAAGTTAGTAAAAGTAACTACCAGGCGCACCCGTGCTTGTGTGATAATTTATACTACTATCTTCAAACTGGTCGGTAGTAGTAGTTCTATAGATTGCAATGTGCTCTCCTACACTAACGTGTAATAGTTGTGATCGCAAGTGAAGTTGCCGATGGAACATACTAAAACCTTCATGATAGACAAGTGAGGTTGCCGGTGGAACATACTAAAACCTTCATGATAGACAAGTGAGGTTGCTGGTGGAACATACTAAAACTTTCATGATAGACAAGTGAGGTTGCTGGTGGAACATACTTAAACCTTCATGATAGACAAGTGAGGTTGCTGGTGGAACATACTAAAACCTTCATGATAGACAAGTGAGGTTGCTGGTGGAACATACTTAAACCTTCATGATAGACAAGTGATGTTGCTGGTCATTGCTGGTGGAACTACACTAAAACTTCATGATAGACAAGTGAGGTTGCCAGTGGAACCATACTAAAACCTTCAAGAAAGTGAAGTTGCCGGTGGAACCATACTAAAACCTTCATGATAGACAAGCAAGGTTGCCAGAGGAACCATACTAAAACCTTCAAGATAGTGAGGTTGCTGGTGGAACATACATACATGTACGTACTAAAACCTTTATGAGAGACAAGTGAGGTTGCCAGTGGAACATACTAAAACCTTATTAAACAATAGACAAGTGAGGTTGCTGGTGGAACCATATTACATCCTTCATGATAGACAAGTGAGGTTGCCGGAGGAACCATACTAAAACCTTCATTTAGATAGTGAGGTTGCTGGTGGAACATACTAAAACCTTTATAAGAGACAAGTGAGGTTGCCAGTGGAACATACTAAAACCTTATTAAACAATAGACAAGTGAGGTTGCTGGTAGAACCATACTAAAACCTTCATGATAGACAAGTGATGTTGCTGGTGGAACATATAAAAAACCTTCATTGATAGACACGTGAGGTTTCTGGTGGAACCATACTAAAACCTTCAGATAGACAAATGAAGTTCTGTGCAAGGGATGTCCCATAAACTTTTCAACAAAGTTTGATAATGAAACAAATTTAAAAACAAAAACAACATAGTTTTAGTGGCTGACCTCCCTCTACTTCGTGTCCGGAGGAAGTCAAATCAACCAACACCTGAGAACCAATAGTTTCCTACTACTTCCTCTCAAACCTTACATAATTGTATATTTTGGATTATTATCCCTGATGGCAGAATTGTTTTACTACGCGTAAATTCTATTCACAAAACTATTATTGTAATACATGTACTCAAAAGTTCTACTACGTATAAGTCAATGAACATCACGTCTGAAGCCTCAAGATCTTGCTGCAATTCTCTTTAAGACAATGAGGTCACTGACCTCATGACCTTGACTACAAGGCATGGCTCTTGCAGCTCAGCTTTAAGACATTGCACAATTTGTCAGGACTAATTCAACCCAACCTCTGATGACAGATGAGAAACTTGGCCTCTACCCAGATTCCTCTGAAACAGGAAGTGGCCATTTGGGGCCTAATCTAATATACCCGCTCCCAAGCAGCCAGATGTACGGTACATGTGCGTGTACTTGACACTTACTCAGAAGCAGAGTACACGTTTACATAACCTACAGCACTGCACAAGTGCACACACAAAAATTTCCCAGAAAGAAAAGCCTGTAAAGTATAATTCAACTTACATACATGTAATGTACAGGTACATGTACCACTGACATACCGTATAGTATACAAAGTTGTAATTTATACATTTGGTGATGATCTCTGGCATTCCTGCATGAACCAGAATGTGCAGGTGATGGTTAGCAAGTCTAACATCATTTGCATTTAAATGAATCTGAGCACGTGTTCACTGTACACTCACTAAGGCCCCCTTCAATGGAGAAACCACTGTGCATGCTATTGTACAAAGCAACCATCCTGTGACGGATTATCAGAGCAGAAGCGAGCACAATGCTTTCGCTATTAGGGGAGCCTCCATGACAGAGGTGATAGCGTGCCCGGATTGGCCTGTAACCAGGATCAGATGGAATATTCTGCTGAAAAAATATCCTTGAAATGGCTACTGCCATTGAAAAAAGAAATTTGTTACTTTGATCAATGAAGCACTTGTCACACACTGTACTCTTTTAAAAAAAATGTAACCATAGTTAGGGTGATGTAAAGGATGGGAAGCCTGGGAGGAATAAAAGCCTTTGGCTGCTCCATCAGTCCCCTATGCTGACATTTAGTTTTCATCTTTAAGTGACGTAGCAATATTTATGAAACTGTTTCCTTCTTGATTACATAACACGGTCTATATTACCAGCACGAAGAGTAAATCTTTCCAAAACTTATTAAATGATTGTACTTTGCATGAAGACTGATACAGAATACTTATGGAATTGGAAGAAACTCCAATTTGAACCTAGTATGTTACTTGTCATTGAAATATATCTTCACTTCAAATGTTAGCAAACTACGTAAGCATATGACCATTCAAGTAAGTTACCACGTTACTGAGATATCTTTTTGTGGAAACACTGCAACTTCTACACGATAACACAGATTTCAATGATAATTTTTTTTTGAAATCTATATATACAAGAGCAAGTTTTACTCGGCCTCCAAGAAATGTTTGCTCCTGAAAGGATCCAAGACCACGGTCTCCCGCGACGCCAAAATCGCTTCACGTCAGTGGAAAAATGTGGAGGGTGTCTTCCGCCGGGTCGGACACTTCGGGTCGTCCTAATTTTCCCGTACGGACCGGCGATCCGTTTCGTCGATTTTTCATGACTGCGTTTTTGTACAGGAATTGCAGTCGTGTGCACTTTCACGTTGACTGCCTGGCCGCCTTCTGTGTTGGCTTTATTTCGAGTCAAGACTGTGCGTGGTCAGCGGCTTCAACGTAGGGGCTCCGTTTATGTGTTCTACTTGCCCGTTCTACAACAGTGTTCACCAAACAGTAGTGAGGGGTGACCTTGGCAAAATATTTTTTCTCCATGGTGCGTGGCCACCAAGTTTCCCTATTGTTTCCTATGCTTTGCTTGCCGCCCCGCGCCAAGTGCCATGAATACTTAGAAGGACCACACATTAGTATACCTTGCGCGGTCAGCATCGGACCAATCTAAAGCCTGCACTGCGTACTTCCGGGCTATGCGTAAAACTGTCGATGTCAACGCGTACTGCAGCCTGCTCGACACACTGGAAACGAGGTTGGGTCTTCGGTGGAGGCTCGCTATGTTTAGTGCAAGCGTGTGACGTGATGGAGTGATGTTGCTTCCACCGGACCCATGCAAGGCTGAGTGTTGTGAGTTTGCTGCCCGCCACGCATAATTCAGTGTCGCGTGATAATTTCGGGGGCATTGTTTTGGGATCAACGAAGGATCAATTGCTTCAAATATCGCAAACTTAAGTTGAACTTCGTTAGGTTGGAATAACGAATTCCATTGGCGGTTGTTGGCTGTTTGGCCTTGCTTTATTAATTATGGTTGAACCAACTTGAATAAAGTTGAATCGACTTTTTCCTCGCAAGTCTCGCAAAAATTGTAAGAAGTTCAAGTTTACGTTTGTTTTCCAATACTGTAACTTAATTATCATGGGTGTCAATCGGTGGGGGACGGGGGACCCCCCCCCCCCCCACCCACCCACACACATTTTGAAGCGGGGGACATTGTTTGGTCCCCCCCCCCCCACTTTTTCTTCCCCAAATAAAAATTGTATCCAACTATAATGATTCTATTGCTCAGAATAGCTGATTCAATGACTCCAAACTCGAAAAATGATGTTTAAAAGTTGATCTTTTGCAAAAAAAAAAAAAGTTTTAGTGGTCAGAAACTCGGAAATCTCGGAAATATGCAATTCAACGATCTAGTATCTCAGAAACATGGAATTCATCTTCGAAAAGCGCACAAAATGATAGCGTGTGGTTTGAAGGTTCTGCAACCTTATCGTCTGATCCGTTCATTCAGCTCAGTCTTGGGTACATAAGTTATCATTACATTTTAAGAGAAAATCATTGAATTCCGTACATTTCAGAGATTCGTTATCATTAAATTGGTTCCCAGATATAAATAAGGGTCAGTATTTATAAGACTTTTACACTTTGCATTAGGATTGTACATCATTAGTGTCTGTCATTATCAATATTTTCACAAGTTAGTCCAAAATTTCAAGATACATGTAGTTGCTGAAATGTCTGCATTATACAGTTGAATGAAACTTAAGAATGGACAAAAATTGAATTAATAAAACCTTATTAAGCCCGGTTCATACTTCATGCGAAAGCGAAGCGAAGTTCGTGACGTCAACAATATGCACGAAGCGCGTCCGCCATCGACGACAACATGAATTTTGCTTCGCACTTGCTTTCGTTTGAAGTATGAACCGGCCTAAGGCCTTTAGTTTGCAAAATGTCAGCGTACACAGACAATCACAATACCTACCTGGAGATTGCACAATGAAGGTTGCAAGGAACAGATCCAACTCTCGGATGCTGACACTAATGTGGTGTGGCTGGACACACAGTACAGGATTGGAACAGTTCATAGACTTGACCAACCTCTCACCATCGGTGCTCTCCAAAGGTATAGCCTTGAAGAGCACCACCATCACCAGGTCTAAGCGCCAGACCTTGTCAGCCTGACGCAGGCAGTCAATGCGTCGAATTTTACCCTTTTGGTCCGGGTTACTCAGTATGCACATGGGGGTCTTCTTGCCTGTAACAGTGAGAACAAAGTCCTCCCGACACTCGGGCCTGATGTCTTTGCGCAGTTTAGCCAGCAGACGAGACGCCCACTTTTGCTTGACCTCGGGCTTGTCATTGGCAAGCTCTTCTTTGACCTGCCTCTCTTCTAGTGCCGACATGCGTTTCTCATGCTTCTTCAGGTACTTGCGCTTCCGCGCTTGCAGGTTGAACCATATGTAGGAGAACGATTTGACATAAGGCAGCACAGCCTCAATGAAGGGGTGAAACTCATCCTGTATAAAGAGACCAAACATTAATCAATTTAGCGTCATGTCGGTGGCCTCAGATGCAGATAGCCAGTATACAATAGGATATTTATTAAAGCACACAATCAACAAAATGATAAAGTGAAATAAAACCTGCATAAAAATGAAAAAAAAAAAAAACAACAAAGAATACTGCTAATGTTCTGTTATTATTTTAAGTTATTCCTACTCAAACATTAATGGAAATTTAGCACTTACTTCTGCATTTATTGATTTAAATCTTTCGAGTGAACTGAAATGTTTCCATAACCCCTGGAAAAGAAATCTACTTGTTTTTAACATACTCATCTAGTATAAAACCTCATGTCAGTATAGGTTTCCCAGTTTTGTTTGGACAGTCTTTTATCTACACGTATAATATGAAGAAAAAAATGGTTTTATCTACATGTATGTAGGCAGTATACCTAAAAATATTAACAGCACTATTTTATATAGGGCCTACATGTATTAAACACTGACATTAGTATAATAATTAGTATTCAAATAGGTAATACATTTCACTAATCCAGCTGAATCATGTTTTGCACTTCACTATAAAATTAGTCCAGCAACAGCAAGTACAAGTACATTGTGTACAGTCATTCTATTCCATACACTATGCCTATAATTTATCATAAGATTCATATGGCACCATTTGTTTACCGTTTTTTGCACAACTGCAATTTTATACACACAAGCATGAATGAAGAAAACATGTTGTCAAAGTAAGCAAGACATCACAGATTGGATATTGAGCCGCAGGAACTAATTCATTGGAACTTTTAGAGCTATGATCCAACATGGTTCGAGTCACATGGCAATATTTTGGCGGCATGAAAGGAGCCATGCACGCCGTGTGTGTGGTTGATGAATGTTTACATCCATGGCTGAACTTACCACCGACATATCGGAGCGTAATCGCCAAGCACTCATGGCATGCACCAAGAGTACACCCCAGAAAAACAGAAGCCAGCAAAGATTTCTGGCACGGTTGATGTTTCTTGATCGCTTCGGTAGAACGAACTAATCATCTAAGTTGAGAGCCATGAACGCGTTTAGTTGGCTATGATCCATGCGACAGTGCTTTGAGTTCTGTGTTTACACTCGTTTTCTAGTGTGAAATACACGCATGGATCTTACTACGTGTATGTCACGCTATGCGTCACCGTACAACGTACGTACCCAAGCTAGCTTTGTATGTAAACATTACCAGCTATGGCGTAGTAGAAATTCTGTTGAGTGTTTCGCAATGGCTTTGTTTAGGTCTTTCATGGTGCATTATTATGTTAATTGTAACGAGAAAAATCGCGTAACCTCTGTGGGCGTTCTTAAAAACAGTGATTTGATTGGCTTTCGTGCCATAAATATATTAAATATTTATATTTGGAAGTAGAAGCTGACCAATACCAATGCATGGAGGCGTATCTTACCTAATTGATTGACAACATCGAGTCGGCAATCGGTTGGTAAGGAGAATTTTGATATTGATCATTTTGTTTACATTCCATTTATATAAGTTATTGAGATAATTTTGAATAATTTCGCAAATGTTTAGATAGAAAATGTATTTAAAGGTAATTAGAAGCGAAAAAATACCCCTAGATTGATTACAGTTTCATAAAGATATAAAAAATAATAACCACGTGCGTTAACTTCTTTCTAATCTTTACAAAGGTGCGTTGAACCCGGCACGAGCGTGGGTAGTTACGGTGTGGCGCGTTTTCTAACCAGATGCCTGAATGATCAGCGTTGGGGGACAATTTGAATATAATTGCTTTGAATTATTGCATCAGAAAAAAAAATCGAACGATTTTGTCAATATTATAATTTTAGAATAAAATAGATGAAGTTAAAATAACCGATTTACAATGACATTCATGAACAGTATAGAAACATCAGAATTGTTTTTATTACAAGCCGGTGTTTCACTTTCAATAATTTGCAATATCGAGATTTTGTAGAAAAATATATATATTTTTTTAAATTTTTGAAAGGTTTTGAGGGAAACCAGTTGATCATATGTAATATAGTAATCACGTTTAATAACAGAAGCGAAGTGAGAGGTGTTTTTTTTTTTGGGGGGGGGGCAGAATAAAACAAATCTTTTGAGTTTGTGACAGGTTATGACAAGAACCAGTTGGTATGCAGTTTTGCATTTAGGGCCGCCCTATAAAATAAAATAGTAAGCCCTTTTTATAGGTTTTTTTTTTGGGGGGGGGATGGGGATGGGGATGGGGGAGGGAGAAAAATCCTGAATATTCCGACCCGTAAACGGGGTTCAAACCCGAACTCCCTTTGGAATATAATAGTACCACCCGATATGAGGGTGCACCGTCTTTACGATTTATATACAATGCGTACCAAAAAAAAATGCAAACAAAATAAAACGGAATGCTAGACGTACGAATGTGCAACTAACATAGATAATAAAGGTATGGTTTGAAAGATACGCCTTTCCGCTTTAAAATGAGACACCAAACGTCCAAATCCGATAATTTTTGACAGAGTTATGAGTAATTTTCCAAGAGATCAAATAGACCATGGGACCACTAAGTTTTCAATTTTAGGCATCGGGACTGTGCGGATATTTGCCTGGCCTACAAAAATGTGTTCAGCGAGTAAACACAATTCTAAACACTTTCTTGCTATCACCTCAAGCTAAAAAATGTTAAGCATTATAAATATGTTTACAAACTGTTACACATTCTACATTCTGATCCACCTTATAATAGGCCATCAGCCTGGGGGTTTCAAATCAGGGCATAAATGATTATAGTGAGCATGCGCAAGGAATACCGCCCCTAGAGTGGTAACAAGCATTTTGATGGACATTTTGAAAAAAGGGTGATAACACCCAAAAAGCTGCCACCGGTGCAATGCTATCACATATTTTCCGACTCCGGAGGTGTATACCTTGCCAAAAATCGCTATGACGATTATTCCCCTCATTTGATACCGGTGGCCAAAATTTTGGACCGAGGCTGATGGCTTATAACGGTTAGCGTTCCCACTACACACAATTATTGCCGGATCTGATCCACCAATTGGGGGATCTGATCCGGCAATTGGGGGATCTGATCCGGCAATTTGGCAAAAGGTGGACCAGATCCCCCAATTGGTGGATCAAGTGGGAACGGGGTCTACGTCTGGCATTCCGTTATATTTTGTTTGCATTTTTTAATACACACTGAAGAGGAAACCCAAAGCACTATGGGAAGGTAAGCCATGCAGTCTTAAACGTATGATTACCTTGCAATTGTTCGGCTGCCGCGGTCTCCAGTTTCTGACAACAGAAATTGAATTTTTTTTATCGATAACTTAAAAAAACCTCATTCAAGGAAACTGTCTTAAAACTTTCTTTTTCACATAACTTTTTTTTCCTCATGCCGCGGTGACACTATGGCGACTCCTTTCATTGCATTAAAAGGGATATATTAAATTACAATTCCTAGATATCAACGAGTTTTTAACATTATTCATTCCGCAAATAGAGAAATAAGTATGTGCACCATTACATTTTTGAGATGTTTTAGTGAGGAGATATTTTAGTACAGGTACTTTGTTATGCTCTGATTGTTGTATAAAATTAGTTTTTGTCATAAAAAACTATTTTAATGGCATTATTATGCATGCCCTCCTAATAATGCCGAGTGGATTTTCTCCCTCTTTACCAGAGTTAGAAAGAAAAGTTTATTTTTCTTTTAACAATTTTTTTTTTTGTGGGCTACTATAATACCCTGGTTCTACTACTTGCTGTGGTCTTCTAAAAGTTCCCGCTCCAAATTCATAATTGGACACTTACCATAAAAAAATGATCAGTTGGTTACCGTTATAAGCAATGTTGTTTTACTGCAAAGCTAATTAAAGAATAATAATCTTTATGATACTCCTGGCAGTATACTTTGGCTAACAATGTCATGCATTTTGGCCATACTACCAAGGGCGGATCCAGAACAGAGTAACTGGGGGGGGGGGGGGGGGGGGGGGGTTGGAACTCATTTCAAGCCAGGGGGCGCTCTTTCCCCCTTTCCTTATCTCTTTGGACATGCCTTTTTTGTTTACAAATCCATAACGGTAGAGGAACAGGGGAATGCAGGTTGTTCTGAGAACGGTGATGGAGAAGTCTCATCGGATGAAGATCAAAGCATCCTGACCGTATAACACCTCTGGTTCTTCAAGTAGTACCTTGTAGAATATACCTCCAAAAACCCATCCTCGTGGGAGTATGACTGGGTGCATACCTAGTACGTAGGACTATATAGAGACGCCCCCCCCCCATCGGGTAGACCCGTATAACTGGAGGCTTGATGAGCGTTTTTGGCCTACGCTTCCATGATGTGACAAAACGTTATACAGTCTCGAATCAAGACTAGTTAGTTGGTGCAAGTAGCTTGCTCAGTCAATTCCAGGGCATCGACCTCAACCTTAACTAATGCATGCAAGATGATTGTATATTATAAAGAACAGTTCGGGGAGTCGTAACGAATCTTTTCCCTAAACCTATAGTATATTTTCAACGTGGCCCTAAACAAATGTTATCGTTGACGACTTGGAATCGAGTTCATAATGCCCCCCTTTCCAACCCCCACACTACCTGCAGGAAGGAGTCATTATTCACTTCAAGTTACATGTACTTCCTCCGACAGTTGCATCCGACCCAATAGGAGCATTTCACAATGAAGGAGGGGGTGTCGTGCCACGTGGTGGGTGAATAGGTTACTTCATGTTTGAAGTTACCTTATTTTATACGCATATCAACGCTAATGACTGTTTTCCTTGGAGGATTGACGGTGGAACCGCATCACAGTTGGGGGAAAGAAACTTTCAATTAATCGGAAGTGATCATTTCGCATCCGCCCACGACTGCCGGTCGTTGGAGGGCTCTAGCCACGCCTACGTAAGTACGCCCGTTGCGCGCGCCGTAGAATTCTCAAACATAGTAGCACCAAAAACAAGCTGATGTACAATTATATATGTATATACGATGTGTTTGTACTAGACAGAGCAGCGAGGAAGGAACTAACGTCAAGGAACTTCTGTAAATTATCATTAAGAGGTTTTGATGTAGGCCTACCTTAGCATCTTGGTTTCTACTTTACCATTTTTACAGTGATTGGGATTTTTCTTTTCCGTTTGCAAATGCAGGCAGGAAATTAATGTGCCATCAACGTAAACAAAAACAGTTGATCATATAATTTAATCTTGTGCGGAAGTTCACAATTTCGAGGGAAGGGTGCGAAGGGAGTGAGTTTTCTTACACAATTTGGGATCGACATGGCATCTCGACAGAAGTGTAATAAAGAAGAATCCATTTTTTTTTTTTTTTAGGGGGGGGGGGATATTTGGGGCTCGTTTTTTTTTCCGAATAGGGGCATAACACCTGACCTCGGAGGAGGGGGCGTACCCCTCCCCCTCCCCCGCCACCGTCTGCACCTGGATAAACGCCTCCGCGGCAGATCTCCTTCTTTGAGAACATCTCTCAGAGAACAGTGTTCCGTAGTTTTGACGGATTCAATGCAAGACGCTTGGGTCATCGGATTCTCCTTTTTCCTTGAATTAAAACTATCCCAACGATAAATTTAGAGAAGAAAAATTGTACAGTGAAATCTCGGTAAACTCTGATAACTCAAAACAACTGTTAAGTCAAACAAGGAATCTATTGCTCTATGATATACAACCCTGCTTAACTCAAAACTCTGCTTAATTCAAATGTTGAACCTGTTCCCTTGATGTTGACTTATCAAAGTTTCACTTTCACTGTAGATGAAAAATGGGAATTGGTGGATTCGAAGCCGGGATCTTTCGATCCATGATCATCTCACTACCCTGTAGGCTACTGTGATAGCGTTCGACACTGAGCGTGCTTTAAAATCCTTTAATGTGACAAATTAATAAGCAAGTAATAACAACAGAGTGGGACGTCAATGTTCTTTTCTTATGAATAAACATAAACTTTCCCATCGAAACCACTGAACACGGGTTCTCTAAGATAGTTCTCAAAGTAGCAAACATTGATCAGCCGCGCCGTCATATCACAGGTTTTCCATATTTGATGAAACTTTCGATGGCAATTAGCGGGCCGCAGTGGTGTTATCTGGATCAGATGTGAAGTGAGCACAATGTGACAATGAAAGGTTGTATACAAGTCTTTGTAAGAATGAGACCGTTTTGTTGGTTTTCTCAGAATTTTTCAGCAAGTTCTTTTGTGGCAACGGGACTCACAGGGATAA